AAACTTGATAGAACCAGAGCTGCATGGATTAATTATACACCGTCACAGGGAACACTAATCAATCTTCTGCTCTCCTTTAACACGTTGTGTGTGCACAGCTCCACTGCAGCTCTCTGCGCTGCAGTGTGCCTTATCTGCGAGTCTGCTCCTACTACAGCTAACTCCTTTTTCCAGGAAATGGATGTTCTTGATCTTCATCACAGGCAGTAAATGCTTTTCAGTGAGTGACTGAATGAATGAATGAACAAGCTAACAAATGAGAGGGCAATAATTATAGAGATATGCACGATTCATGGCACTGCTTTGATTGCTCAATTTCCCCAGAAACAACTGTGGAATAGAATTTCTCAATTTGTGGTCTTTATAGTATCTGTATCAGAATCAGCTGGTTGGGGTGCTTGGTAAATTTCAGATTCCTGCATCCCAACTCAAACCTACTGAATCAAAGTATCCCTAGCATATTCACTGTGAGCAGTGGGGTTGGGCTCTCATTGCTGTGGAGGACTGATTAGCTAAAAAGTTAGCCAATGATGCCTTGTGACCTGGTGAGTGTGCAGGAAATGTTAAGTCTGCTTCTATATATAGATTCTGTTTAAGACTCTAAGGTAGTCTTCCTAAAAATCATGTGGTTTTAATTAAAGAAAAGAGACCTGTTTCTCCTAAATAATCAGATCTGAGAAAATTCTCTGAGCCACTATACTCCATAGTTAATAGAAGAGAAGTGTGGTGTAATCTTGTATCTCTATCCCTTTGTTTCCCCAGTCCAAACACTTTTTTTTGTTTCTCCTTTGGAGAAGTAGCCTTAGCAGAAGTAATATCAGTATTAGTAACAAAATTAACTGGAATAGCCCTAAAGAGTAATTTAAAGCAATATTAAATGAAATCATTTTGGAAAAGTATCATGGATTGCTAAAATAAAGCCAGAGTGAAGATTTTCAAAATTTTTTTGATAATGTTCCTACAATATTCATACATTGGTATATAAATTATATTGAAAGGATTTTAGGGCTTTTTGTGTGTGTGCGCATTGCTTTTATATGAAATGTACTGCCAACTATACTATAAAAGAACAAAGAAGATACATGAGACATGAGTGCACAAGCTTTTTATAAACCCTATCAAACAAAATTAGAGTAGACATTTAGGTACATGAAATAAACATCTCCTGTGTTTCTTTTTGTAATTATATTCCAGCTAGAAAATTACCTTAATATTCAGAATATACTCCTAGAATACAGACTCAACTGTAATTGGAGAACAGACACTTTAATCCTAGTAGGAAGGGAAGTAAGAATGAGAACAGGAAGGGAGAAGAGAAGGTAATGAATGGTCAAAGAGCAAAAGCAAAAGCAAAACCCAGACAAGTGTGCCTCATGGAAGCTGACATGTTTTTTTTAGGTTGAGAGAGAGAAGCTAAAGATCAAGGTGAGAGAGAGAAGGTGCCTGGTACAGGCGATTGGGTCAAGACACCACCAAAATAGGGGGTAGAACCCTGGACAAGAAGACAAGAAGTAGGTATGGATACAAAAAAGGAGGTAGTATGGAGATGGAGAAGCCAGGGAGATGAGGCCTGATACCTCCCATGTTGTGGATGGTATTCTGCTCCAAGTGGGAGGTGGACATTAGGTAGGGATGTGAAGACAGTGGGTCAGATTTGAATAGGTAAGAGAAATGGAGAAGGGAAGTGGCCAAATATAAATGGAGCGATTGATATTTGGTTTTCAAGACCGATCGTATTTCTTTGTTCTACAGAACCTTTATTCAGTTAAAGGAAGAAATATATTTATGATTATAATTTCTGGGGACTTGATATTTTCAAGTAAGGGTAGCTGCCTCTTGATGGCAGAAGTGCTTGTATCTGTCGGGGATAACAAATTATCAGAAACAATGTCAGAGAAAAATTTTAATCTAGAATACCAGAATATTAATCAACTTGGGTATCTCCTACCTGTCACATGTAATGCTTGGTGGGAATAAGCTCTTCCCCATGAAAGTTTATTGGATGGTCCTTTGCTGTGGCATTTGGATTTTTTTTTTAATAGAAACAGACTTTTTGAACTTCTCTGGGTCTGCTCATCCTAATTCTGACCCATTTCTCATATGTGTCATTTGAGTTCCATGGTGTACTTCCAACAGTTTGCTCCAAGGGGCTAGCCTTAATTTCTTTAAACATCATAAATTCTACCATTGGAGTTGTGTACATGGTCTATGAACCAAAGAGGAGAACTGATGTCAAAGACATATGGTCGTCCCAACTCAAGCTAATGTGTGAACTGAACATTGACCTTAGGTCTATTCCTTGGAAGGAAGCACCCGTCACTTGTTCTCCCTGTTTCCTGAGACTGAGGAAGGATATTCGTGTAGCACAGTATTTCTGCCTCTACGTGAATGTGGCTGGCAGGGAGAGAGTCCTCAGTGACCCTTGTTGGAACAGGAGAGATGCCAACATGGGTCCTCTGTCCAAGTTCTCTTCCGGGGAGTGTGTAGAGGGTTGTGTCGTGCCTCAGGCCTCACTTCTGTCCAGAGCTCAGAGCACTTAAAATGATTCTCCTTATCCCATTATGGCCTCCTCAGTTGTCCATCTACCCAAGGATGTGTGCTTGTTCAGCTTACCTGATGGCTTGGGGAGAATACCAGCAATGCAAACCTTCTCACAGTGAGGTCACATGTGACAAGTGCAGAGATCCTGGTAGTTCCTCCTTAGAACAAGAGTGATGCTGCTGCATCTTTCCTGAGGCCTCAGGAGGAAACTCTAACAACATTTTTAGAAGATTTCATATGTGCATAGCCACATTTTTTTAAAAAGTGCTTTGAATAGCCACACACCTTCTACTCCCTACCTGTGTTCTTTTCCCTGCAGTGTTTAGCTTTCTGTGTTTTTCCAGTAACAAACAGCTAATAAAGTACATTTATTTGTGAACACATGAGCATCCCTCTCCCCATCCAAGCCGCTCTGCCCCTTAAACTATGTTTAGAAGGGAAGCCATTACCTGTGTTGTCTAACCTGGAGAAGTGAGTGATACAGTCTTGGGGATTCTGTGTCAGGCACGACAGGTCTCACTCACTGAGTGGTTTTTAGGATGGTGGGTATTTCTTAGGAATGGTGTTAAGCTGCAAGAAACAGAAACCCAGCCACAAGGTCCTGATCAAATAGGAATTCATGTTTACCTAGGGAGTGAGAAGCCTGAAGGCAAGCGGTGGGTGCAGAGCTTAAAGAAGCTTCATGATTGCTTCCAGCTTCTCACTCTGCCATTGTTAGCTTGTGCTCTCATTGGAGAAGAAGGGAGGGGGAGGAGCAAAAGGATTCCTGGGTAAGTCCTTTTTTCAATCAGGAAAATGAGAGCTTTCCCAGAAGTCCCACCCAGCAGACTTATGTTTACATCTCACTAGTCAGAACTATGCCACATGCTACCCTTAGCTGCTAGGGATTCTCGAGAGGTATTTTTAACTGGGAACATTCTGCTTTGGACAAAATTGGGGCTTGGTTGGCAAGGAAGAAGCTCGATGGGTAGTCAGTGAGTAGGCTCTGCCCTACGGGGCCACAAGACTTCTTTCAAGGGCAGTTGTAGGCGATCCCCAGAGGGCCTCCCAAACACCCGCCTCACGGTGTTGTAGTTGCATGATGGAATGGAGTGGTTTGCCTTGCCTTGCTCTTTGAGGTGCCTCTCCATCCTTGTAAGGAACAGTGGCTGCTTCATGGCCTTTCACAAAAAGAATCTTTGACATCATGTACCGACTGCAAATGGCATGGAAAGGCCATTCCCCTCAAAGTCCTTTGGCTTATCAATATGATGAGACCAGTGAGGGCCAAGCACAACCAGATACAGAAATCCCCCAGAGGTGGGTTATCTGACCCCTCACTTTGGCCCACTTTCTGTTTCTTTCATCCTCTTAGAAGCCAGGTTTTTCTTCTCAGGTTATTCCCTTGGGCTTGGGAACTCTTCTCCTTCCTTCCTTTTTTAGAGTAGCTCTTACTTCACCCTGCCACTTTATTCCTGCTCTCAGTTAAAATGTTATCCCTCTTCTTTTCTCCTGGGAAGGGGATTGGGGGCAACAAATAAGGTGCATCTGACTTGAAGAGCCAGTGTTACCGTACACATTTTCGTGTACCCATAAAACTCCGGACACTCTCCTTCTCATGGTTTTAGTTTCAGGTCCTGTTTTAGGCCCTAGGGCAGAGCTTCAAACTAGTGTGATATGAGCAAGTTATGGAATACAAATGCCTTCAGTGCTGAGAGTGATGGGGCAGAGACTGGAGCAGCCGGAGCATTGCTGCCTGTCATTCTGAGTTGTCAGCATCTCTGTCATTACCCCAGTGTGCCAACAAATAGTACCATTTTCTACCTGCCATGAGGTCAGGAAGCTTGGAACAGGCTGCTTTCAAGCCTGTTCCTGAGGTCGCTGTCCTTTCTATCTTTCTTCCATACAACAGCCTAAACTCTCTCCCTTTCTTTTTCTTGTATTGCTTGAGGTTTACCACCTCTGGCCTTTTTTGTAAAAGTTTGCCCAGCAGACTTGAGGCCTTGACTGGTGTCCCCTGAACACGGCTCATGGCAAACCTGAACTGTGTCTTGACTCAGTTTCATGGCTGAATGTCCCTGTTTTCATCCCAGCCTGAGTTGTGTTCTGTTCTCCCAGCTCTACTCCCACTTTCCTTTTTATAGAGGGTTTAATGATGGGAGCACACCCTGCCCTCCCTCACTCCCCAGCTCAGCTCCTCCTCTCGGCTGCAGCCCTTGTGCCCTGGGTTCTCTGCAGGTTTGTCGTTCGGCGATACTGGTCAGCTGGGCCCAGGGGTGCCACCTTCTATCTATTGCTCCCCTCTAGATGCAGATGTGCAAATGCAGGGTAGTAATCTGCTGGGACCAGTCATTGGTAATAGTGTTTATGAATATTTTCCCCTTTATCTTTTTTCCACATAATTTAGAACTTGTATTAGTCTTTGAGCTAAGAACAAATAGGTTATAATTAAGCTGAAAAATCTTTCTTTGGTTTTCCAGATGAGAATTCTCCAGCCAACTTCTGGGATTCTAAAAACAGGGGTGTGACTGGAACACAAAAAGGGCAAATTGTATGGAGAATTGAGCCTGGACCCTATTTCATGGAACGTAAGTAATTAGTATAAAATATAAGTTTATCACTGAATATTGTATAACTACTGTACAGAAATCTTTCAGAGTCTTTTCTGAATGTTATTTTAAAGGTTTTGGCTGTGATTTACATATTTATGCCATGGGTCTCCAAACTGGAAAATATATTGTTTTAGAAAATGCTCATTAGAAAGATATTCACCTGTTCTGAAGAAAGTATGTGTGTGTATGGGTGTGTGTACATATGTTTGTATATATACATATACACATTATATATATCTTATGAATGTAAAGTATAAAGTTATGGTTATTTTAATACTTTATACATTTTATATATCCCTATATATACATTTATAATTAATATTTATTATATTAATATCAGGGAGCAGAAAAAATAATTCAGGACTTCAGTTACCTTAACATTTATATTTGCCTTGAGAATATATGGCTGTTATTTCTTCCAGCAGTAGACTTTTGCATTTGGGTCCTGGTCCTGACACATGTAGATGAGACAGTCTGGGTCACGCTGCCATAGAGGTCAGTTTACTAGGAATCAGAAATTGGCTGCAAATGGATACATGATGTACTAGTTGGCCCAACTTCTACATTTGCAGAATTCTTCATTCATGTAATGGGCTCCTTAAAATTTTTATGAGTTATTTAGCTCTGTGAAAAAATTAAGTTTTCCATATACAAGGGATTTAATATGAGAGAGTGTGTGTTTGTGTGTGGCTACTAGTACTTATGGGTGGTGCTTATTAAACCTTACAATTCAAAGTAAATTTTGATTAAATGGAAATCTTCTGTAAGCATATTTTTACTGAGGTATATAAAACTTCAGTAAAAGTTATTTTAAAATATTCACATCTATTACTTTAAATCGCCATTGAAGGCATCAGGTGATTTCTTTTCCATCCGTACTGGTAGGTCAGCATTTCATTGTTTTCTCTATTCTTGCTTCTGTCCCCAAAGGACTATATACTTTTCAGAATTTAGCCAGTATTTAGTTCAATTTCCATCCAGATTCTGTCTTAAATCCTTAAATAGAGTATAGTTTTTAAGGGCAAATGCTCATGATATATCAGTAAGTGAGGGGGGATAAAACAAATACACATAGCATAATGCCAACCAATATCATAGCATTTAGAAAAAAGTCTGGAAGAAGATTTTCCAAAATGTGAATAAGGGTTGCTTGTAGGAGGTGAAATTATGAGTGATTAGTTTTTTGCCAATTTCTCCTTTTCTTTACTTTCCAACATTGCTTCCGACTACCTATGTAATGAGAGAAATAAGTGATAAAAGAATGTAGGAAAAAAAATGGAATGGAAATAGCTGGGTTTACTTTCAGGGTGAATGCTTCTTTGAATGGATCCCAGAGTTCAAGAGGCTGATCTAGCTGAGAAATATTGCCAACTGAATTTCAGGGGAAAGGATAAAAGAACCTTCCTCTTCACTCCAGAATGCTGAAGGCTGCTGTGAATGATTGACTCTTGATGAGGACTGCAGACCCATGTTATGCCGCACATGAGAACACCTGGGAAGAAGTCAGTATCACATGCTGCTATAATTTGGAACATTATGTGGGAATAAAAACCACTTACAGAGCATCCAATTTGCCATGGATTGATTTTCTTTCTCCTCTCAAAAGTGTCAGAGATTCATAATGTCCTGGCTGATTTGAGTCTAGTAAATATCTCTGTCTTGACAAATGTTTTTCTTTGCACCTCACAATTTAATAGAATTGGGCTTGGCATTGAATTTGAATTGAAGAAAAAACGAGTTTTTTTTTCTTTTATTTTCTCCTCTAATTTCTACCTTTATTTTTCACACATAATTGGGGATATTGTGTAGCATGATTGTAAAACTGGAAATATTCAGTAATATATTTTTGACGGACCAAGAAAAGTTACATAAATTAGGTCAAAAGAGTGAGATTTACAGAAAGATTTGGCTTTAGAATAAGTTTATCTTCATTAACTAGAATGTCTTTCCGGTATACATACCTATCCTTTCAGTATCCATTCAATGTAAAAACCTCTGGTGCTGTTTATGTCAGGACTTACCTGTATAGTCTGTGTCTTCTAGACATCATTTTTTTTACCCCGTATCTGGCTAGAGCAGACCTAAGGGGACTTCTCAGCATAGTGAAATTGTGCTTGAAAATCTGGAGCTGATGGCATGGAACTTAACAAGAAAAGGGTGGTGGTAGTGGAGTTAACTTCTTTATTTTCAACCTCTGATCTTGAAAACTTATGATATTTAAACTTCTGCTTTCATCTTCAGAAAGAAAATTCATCTTTAGCTTATCAGAAGTACAGACAAAGTAAAATTCTCTGAAAACTGACCTAAGTTCATGGGCAAACCTGGATTTGAACACCCTCTAAGCTATTTCTGAATGTAAAGATGGCTTTAGTTTGTCTGGATACATCCCCAGAGGAGGCAGGAGGGCCTGACTTACATTATTACAGGGCCTACTTAAATGAACTTGAAGGGCAAAGACAGGTTTAATTTTGGGTAGATGACTTTCCTAGGCATGGAAGGAGGGTCAGCGTCATCTGCCTGTAGTTTTCATAAGACTCCCAAAATATTCCTCAAATGAACTTATGCTTGTAGAAACTAAACGGGTCATCTTTACAGTATGCATCTTGAGTTTTGAAATTAAGGAGTTTCAAGAGTGGTCTTGGCATGCCAAGGTGTCTATCTTATTTTGTACAGTCTTTCATAGACTGTGGTCATTCATTCATGCATTTATTCATTCACTCAGACCTGTTTCTGTCCTTTCTTCATTCCTTTTATTCACTGTCCATCTATATCTCCTCAGCCTGTGAGGAAATTACAAAGCGCCAGTTTTGGGCTGTTTTGCTATTCTAGGAACTCACTAAATCCTGGATCAGTGAATGAACTTAGACACAGTAAACTTCATTGCTGTGTACTGAACTGCTTTATGATCATTAAGGATAATATTGGAACATTGATATTTGTATAAATTATATAGTGCTTTCACATAACTTACCTGTCTCAGCCCTGGGAAGTGGACAGGATTAGGAACCTGAGCCTCAGAGACGCAAGCGGCTTGTGTAAAGGAGAGCCTTGTCTCTGACTGGTGCTGAGGTTAATGTGATTTCCAACATGCACTACTTTGTCAGAACAGAACCTTTATGGGCGGCTTTTCATTGGTGGAAGGTGGGGTATTTTTTTCAGCTTCTTTTTTGTATTGTCAGAGCTTCTGACCCAATATCCTCTCCTAAGCCCTTTCCCACTGACATCAGAAGGGCCTTTTTGCCTCTTGGAGGGGAAGTTGGTGCTTTTCCTGATTCTTTGTTTTGAGTCCAGTTAGTTTTTTAATCCTGTTAGGTCTCTTCCACATCTGCACTGGTATTCTCTCTCTGATTTTCATGATTGTTTATCTGAGCTTTAGCAGATGAGGGCCTGGACATGTCAGGCCCCACTGGCTCTTGTGAAAGAGAAGACAACTTGCAGTAATGTGTACATGAGAAATCAGCACGTCATTAGAAAGGCAGGCACATTTCCTCAAAAGCATGAGGATTAAAAAGTGCTCCCTTTTTCCTAATTTGTGGCCTCTGAATAAAAGAGCCTATGAACAGGAATCCTACTATTAAGAGTATAATAAAAGGTTAATGGTTAACATACGGTGATGGTTAAAGTTGGGTTTATAAAATAAATTGCAGTTAGCTTGACTTTTAAAAAAATTATTCTGTTTTAATATAAATGATTAAAGGAAGGTCATTTCCATTCTATCCACTTTGTGGTTCAAAATATCCAACTTCTAGACACTTGGGGAAAATCCAGACTTTCTAAATAGAAATAAACAATTAACAAACTACTGCCTAAGTGAATCTTCTGGCTGTTTAAGGTGATGGACAAGATCCCAGTCTGAAACAAAACCATATTTTTCAAGGGTGGCCTGTAGAACCCTTTTACAGAAAGCCTGAAATGGAATCTTATAATTATGCCGAAGAGTTAATGTACCTGAGTTGACATTGCTTTTACAAAATGATTTTTGAATAGGTAATATATGAAAAGAGCATAATATTAAAAGGCAGAGGTGAAAGTAAATGCCTCCTCAACTTCATGCCCTGTCACTGGTTTCCCCTCCCTGAAAGCAGCCAGCTTTACAAGTCTCGCGTGATCTCTGTGGAAACATTTTATTCATGTATTAACTCCAACACAGATGGTAGAATGACTGCTTTAGAAATACACTGTCAGCATCACAGAGGTACAGAAACCCCTTTGCTTAGGAATAGGCTTCAGTTCCTAAACACAGTTCAAAGGCCCTTCTACTAGCCCACCCTGCCCCCAAAACAAATCCAAAGAGACATGGCACAGCGGTCCCCTGCATCTGTGTGGGGGGATGGAGCTGTCATGCTGTGGCTCTGGGGGATGTCTTCACTTATATTTATGGAAATTAGTAAGTTATAAATTTGAAAATAAAAGGGCTTGTATGTCTTGTCAGAATTAAATAGAGGCTGCCAAATCTTTATTTTAGTAGCTGTTTAATTGAAAGTATCCTGGTAACTGAGAGGCCCACAAGGTGTTTCCATGAGTCGTGACTGGCTTCTGCCATTCAGAAGGGGCCTCGAAGGGAGGAAGATGCCCCTGGGGCAGGGCGGGGCTCTTCCTTCTTGGCAGGAGGTCCTTGTAGGTTCTGGTGAGAGGCCCCACCTTTATCTTGGCTCACTGCCCTGTGAGGCAATATGCTTTCTATAAGCAGATTTTTGGAGAAAATACTCTTGCTTTTTATCATCTGAAGGAATAGCTGTAATGTTTTGCCCATGATTTGACACCAGTAGGAGAAGGTGTTGGCTGTGGAGGGGCCGCTGTCGGGTTGGTGGGACCCTGCATTGCTCCTTGGTCCGCAGCCTGTGCGCAGGACTGGCCCTGGGCAGTGGGCTCCTCCCTTACTGAGGCTTTCCCTTGGCCTTGCATCTGTGTCTGAGGAGCCGCTTTTCTTTTTCCTCTTGCAGCTAGAAGTCAAAAATTGTATCTAAAATAGAAGCATGAATGCTGCCTTCCTTTTTCCAACCTTTCTGAGTATTCTTAGTTACCTCCAACCATAACTAACATGTTCAAGTACATTAATCAAAATGCTGCTCTCTCTCTTTTTTCTCTCTTCCTCAGGGGGATGTTGTTTAGAATAAAAATCTCCAATCCCTGTAACAAATTAGAATCCCTGGAATCATACATAAACTTATTCTGTATAAGTTTTAAAAAGTCATTTTATAAAGTCTTGAGCAGCCTCCTAAAGCATTAAATAATTAGAGATGAAAACTCCCACTCAGCATGGAACATTCCTGTATTTTAGGGGCAGAAATTTTCAGTAGTGTCCTGCTGAAAGAGCTGGCTCATTTCAGTCCAGGTGCAAACACCTAGTTCTGTTCAGCACTGTTTTCCTATCTAGTGACCGGCCTATGTGTGTTTAGCTTTGTGATGGGTGGTCTGTGCAAATCCCCTCAGCTTTGCATGTTTTTTTTAAAAGCATTATGCAGCTGTGAGCTCTGCAGTGTTTCTGGTGATCATGTCCACAAAATCTACCTTGTACAATGCAGAATAAGTTTATGTGTGGTTTCAGGGATTCTAATTTGTTACAGGGATTGGAGATTTTTATTATAGCAAGAAATAAAGTAACACCCAAAAGGTCAGCTAGCAAAGCTGGCCTGTCAGCATCCTCAAATAAAAACAAGTAGTCACGTTTTTCTTGTCTCAGAATCTGTTACCTAACTGACTTGTAAAACCTTACAAAAGAGGGGATGGCATCCTAACTTGAGAGAGAGTTAGGGGAAGGTGTCTTATAAAAATGCCCTTCTCCTTATTGAGAAATGAGCTTTTTACTCACTAGCTATTAATTTGATCAGTGAGGTACCACTGCAGGCAGATTCACATTCTGCTGGTTTCCAGCATTTAGAATGTGATACTAATGAGTTCGCGCCTGCAGAAGTAAATCCTCATGCCTGGCACTAAGCATGTTCTGCTGTGACAGGCCTTGCACATGTTGTTTAGCTTTGTTCTTGCAGAAAATATGCTGTTGGTCTTGGAAGAAAGCAAGTGGGAATGTAAGGTTTGCTCAAATCTTTGCTGGTATTGCTGTTTCAGTAATAACCAAATGCCTGTGTCCGTGTTCTGCGGAGTCCTTTGAGGACGTGTTTCCAGGGAGTTGAAGTGACAGTAAAGCTAGATTCCTGTGTAGGTCTTGCTGTTGCTCAAGCCCGGAACGCTCATTCCTGCTTCCCTGCTTTGGCTGCTCTTCACTGCCGACTTCCTCTGCTAACATTCTCATCTCTAAGTTTGAGTCCGGGCCTTTTTGTGCCATGAGAGATCTCTGACTCCACAGTCTGTGTCCCCTTCTGCCTGGCACTCTTCCTGTTTAGTGCTTGTCTTCTGTGTCTGTCATGCCTGCGATCACCATCTTAACGGCCACACTGTAAAACACCTGCTAGACTAGAAACCTTTCTTTGATTCCCTTGTACTGTCTGGCATAGTAGGTGTGTGTTGTGATAGGCACATGGTAAAAGTCTTTTGCTTGATGATTCTAGCTATATTGTGAAGAACTACATCATGATTATATCACCTAATGGACATATTTTACCCCATGACTGCCCTAATTTTTTGAGATTTCATATTTTTGTCATTGATAAGAAAGTATATTATATTTCTATATATAATATTCCTAATTTTTCCTATATAAATTATTAAAAGAGGATTTTTCTTTAATCATTATATCTTTTTCTTAAATAAGCAAACCAAATACTCTGGAGGAGGCCATTTGATGCAGACAAGAGAGTCAGTGGAAGATTAACTTCCTTGGGAAAATACATCTAGTGACCCCACTTTAATAATCCAGGTGACTCAGCTGGGAGAAGAACCCCACTGCTGTAGGCTGGCACTCTCCCCTGCGGCCTGCCCATCAGCATCATTTCCTATGTCGATGGGCATCTTGCAGTGACTTGGACACTGTATACAGAGAATTCTGGTGACTGTGGGTTTTATCTATGACACATTTTAGCTTCATGGTCTTTGAAATCGTAGTTACTTTTAAAATCAATAACACACATGCATGCACACACACTTGTGCTTATCTCTGATATACACATATATATACACACCTGTGATATATATATATATATACACACACACACATACATATATACACACCTGTAGATATATCTATATCTATCTATCTATATATACATACATGTATCTGTCATCAGTGTAACTCCCTTCGGGTTTTACCTTGCCTTAAAGCTCTGTGAAGCTGTCAGCTCTTCAGTGTCTTTGGTATATATGTATATATATCACATCATATCTATATCTATATATACCAGTTGTTCCTGAATTCTATTCTTGTCTAATAGCTGCATTTAAATCACTTGGAAAACTAAAATAATATAGATTCCTACACCCTATCACTGCAGAGTCTACCATAGTATTATTTCACAGTTTGTTAGCTGCTGCTTTTCTATTTCCATTGACAGCTGCCATCTGTGTATTATGGGTTTGAATCCTAACTGTTATTTCTTGTTTTTTTGACCTTCAGGAAACCTCAGCACTTCATCTGTAGTATGGGAACAGGAATTTCTGCCTAGCAATGTTGAAGTGAGGTTAAACAGCAGCATGAGCAGAAACATAGTGCTGTCTAGTATTTTGTGGAATACCTCAACAAATGATAGCTAGTCTTATCTTTATACTATATATGTATATATATATTTTGGTATGTTGTTTGTGTGTATTACTTTTCTAATATATGTGGGATGTTCTTTCATCCCAAATCTCATCCCAAAATTTCTTGCATTCCAAATTTCATCATCTCAAAATTTCAGGCATCCCCAAATTTCAGAGAAACATATAAAATCAAACAGGAATTGGTGGTGTGATCTGTTGCCTTTGACTGGAAGAGAAAGGATCATTCAAAGAGTCATAAGTAGGATTTTCTGAAAGGCAGTGTGGCACATTTCCTCAGCTAATTCTTAAATGATCTGTTTCAGTGTTTAAATTATTGTTTTTTTCCAATTGATTTGCAGCGGAGATAAAAATCTGTTTCAAATACTACCACGGCATTAGCGGAGCCCTGCGAGCCGCAACGCCCTGTGTCACTGTGAAGAACCCTGCTGTGACGGTGAGCGCCCCTCGCTGCTGGCTTCCTCTTGACGTCCCCAGGGCCCCAATTTCTATTTTTGTCTGCAGCCTTGGCAGTGTTATGGGGAACAATGGAAGAGGAAACGCATTAACAGCACGGGTGCCGTTTTAGGAAAGGAAATAACTTACAGGCTGGCTTACCTGAATCTATCATACAAATCGGGGGGGTGGGAATGTTATTTAATTTATAACAATCTGCATATGGTCCACTCCTCAGGGCAACCAACCACTCACTCAGGAAGCAAATTAGTAAGTGCCCCTTCAAATTTTATCTTAAACTTAGTCTAAGTTTAGTCTAGATGACTAAATTTAGTTGATAGGAAATGGTGGCATGGTATCTTACCTGAATTTAATTTACGTGAACTCAGTGTGGAAAAGAGAGAAAAATAATAATTTAAGTTGTATGTGATTCTACCTGTTGGTCAACTTAAGGAGCTTTTACCCCAAAGAAAGCATGAGATGGGGATCAGGAATGCGCTGTTCTCTCAGGACGTCTTAGTGCCTTTTCCTCTTGATGCTGAAGTAGGGCCTAGTACCTAAAGATACCACATATATTTGGTATAACATGGCTGGCCACTCAATGGACACCAACCTCTTCACCAGGTCCTCAATTGAAGAAAGAGAGATCTAATTTAGTTTTTGAAGAAACTGATTGCATTAGACTTTCAAAGGAAAGCATGTCCATTTCCAAAATGCTGCTTTCCTAAGGATTACTTTTCACAATTCTGTGATTTTTCACCCCATCAGCCGACTTTAGAATCTAACAGCTTCACAAGATGCACTCCATCGTACATGAGTGATTCAGTCAGTTTTGGTAGATTCTTAGAGTCTAAGATATGTAAATCATTGTCTTTTTATACGTCATTAATAAAAATCAGGTCCTAAAAGTGCAGAAGAAAAATACTGATTCCCATAACAGAATCTTCATAACATTTTGTGTGTGTGTGTGTGTGTGTGTGTGTGTGTGTGTGTGTGTGTACATTTCTAGATGCATGAATTTTTGGAAATAGACAAGTGGCCAGGTTGACACCTGAAATTCAGAAAGTAATCTCTGCAGTTGGTACTTTGATATAGTCCAGATCCACCAATGCTGTATCAAGCCGTCTTTCCCTTTCATTTATTCATTCAAACAAATATTCTTTGGGTGACTATTACATGCCAGGCATCGCACTCATCACTAGGGATGAAATGATAAGCAAAAACACAGTCATGCTCTCATTAGTCTGGTGGGAGAAAGAGACATCAATTAAATTAAATTATATTTATTTGAGTAGCAATTACTATTAGGGGGAGTGAAATGAGACTATGAGAGCACAAACTAGTAGGACTTATCCTGATCAGGAAGGTATTGGAAGACTTCTCTGAAAAAGACATGTTTGTATGACAGTCTGAAGGAAGAGTAAGACTTATTTAGGTGAAGAGGGGATGGAAGAGCATTTCTGGTAGAGGGAACAGTCTGTAGAGAATCTTCAGTATCTAAGTGTTCTGGTCACATGTGAATTATATTTGCATTCCCATCCTAGTAAACAAGTATGGAATATAAAAGAATAACCCACATTTACTATATTAGACTCTGGAGGTCACAAGAGGAATGACAGTTGTTGACTATAAAATCTGCCCTGGCACATAGTGATCACTGGAACATGTTTTAATATTCTAAAAGGAAAACTTGTAAAACTGGAAAAAGTGTGGCTTTTTGAAACAAAACCATTGAAAAATCAACTGTGTGTGATATTATATAAAGCTTCCAAACACAATTTTCTAGATTCACATTTTTTTAGATTTGAGCAATTTCAATGATCAGATATCATTGAAGGCACGAGGTATTTACAGCTTGGTAAAGATTGATCTCATTCCATTGATTTTGCATTGAGATTACTCTGTCAGAGCCTGTAGATGGTTTGGAGATAATTTGCTTCAGATAGGTTTTAGAGCACCTTAAAAGCTTTGTATACAGCACTACTAAACAAAATGGAATGTTTTGGTTTAAAGGCTGACTAATAGAATCGGTAGTTAGTAGACTTCTGATAAAGCCTGAGACAGTTAAGTGTGCATCCGAAATGGACAGGCTCTGCCATATCAGCACCTCACCAGGGGGATGAGCATTGGCTTCTGTCGCAGCATGATGGTCATCTAGTTATATGACGTGTGTTTAGCTACTGTGACTGATTAACCACATTGTTATTCACAAAGCCCATTTGGTGATTATTCTACAATCAGATGCCAAGAATAGTTCTGGAAGAAGTAACTGAGAGATTCCATAGGGAAGAAAATGAGCTGCCATCCTAATGATATAGTCCCCTTCCTCACATATCCTTTTGCAATGATTCAGAGATTTAAAAAAAAAGTTGTGCCTTCCCTGTCATCTGTACTTTGACGTCATTGTCATTCATCAGAGTACATAGTGATATGTGTCTCAGACTCTTGGAACAGGAAATCCTTTGGCTGCCATCATTCATTACCATGTATTGTTCAAGCACTCGGTTGACAGCCTTGCTTCTGGGTTTTCCTGGAATGAATCTATGGAGTGAGTTTATTTAAAAACCTCTCTCTAAACATTGAGGGCAGATGTGTTTATTATCACATGTCCGTATACCTAGGGGTAATGTTTGGTCTTTCCTGGCTTTATTGTCATGAATGATAAAATTGAATTCTTTGAGCATTATTTTAGATGAGCATTTTCTACACTTATAGTAAAGGACACTGTTTATCTGTGAAGTCTGTGAGAATTGTTTCATATTAGCCTTTTGCCAGACAGTGAATTATGTTTTAAAAATGGGAATCTGAGGGCATTTTCTTTTGTCTCTCTAATATCTTAAACTATTTTAAATAGGCTTAAATGAAAACTGACCGTGACTCTTTTCAGTCTCATTTAATTCATTTAGCAGAAGTATCCCTTAGCAGGAAGAAACACCATATTTTTGGAGGAGGCACATTCACTGGGCACAGAGTGGAGGCCTCAGTTCATCATATGTCTAGCAGTACCCAGGGTGCAGGAGGGGCAGGTTGCTGGGTTCTACAACCTCAGTTGTAGTCTGTACCGACTCAGTGCTCAACACCCTGTAGTCCAGGAGTGTGTGAGATGAAAGCGGGATATCAGTTGTCTGGCCAGTTTGCTACTGTCTCTGTTCCAGTTAACCTGGGGATGGTGAGTCAGGGGTACAATACACTAAAATACACCATATATACTTGCTGAGAGCCAACCCAGTGTCATCCTAGAGTTGATTTTATTGATGGAATGAAATGAAGATACTTGGATGGCACTCTGGTATATTGCAAGTGATACGTGGAATGACCAGGAAGCAGTCAGGTGTCATACAAAGTAATTCTGATTAAGGTACAGGAAGCAAAGCAGGAAGTAGAAATATATATTTCAAAATTTGTATGGAATTTATTTTGAAATTCTTCAACTTTGCTTGGATTAGTGAAAGTTTTGTCTCTTGGTGGCATATGATTTTCAGAGGAGCGTGGGGAGTGCCTCAAACATAAACTTAAGAATTAAAATGTGGTTCCTATTCCCCAGTTATTCAAAATATACTCTTCCTTCAATCCTGTCTCTTACAGTATTGTAGACATCTATTTTAGAGAACCATGACACTGTTCTTTCTAGTGCATGATAAATGGAGCAGTAATTGTACATAAATTGAGAGAAAGGCTAAATCTGCTATGTGGTCTATAAAAGACTGGTTTCAAGTGAGATATAATTTGCTTAACAACTTTTAGGAAAAGCTATACAATACAATAATCAGGACAATATCATTGCAACTTTTTCTTATTGCTAATTACAATAGCATATGCCATGTACCTGCAGCACAATAAAAAAGGCACCCGCAGGCTGATAGGACAACCACATGGTTACTCAGAAATATTTGGCAAGAGAGGATAGTTCTGCACACATATGGAGGAGCCTGATATTAATCTCCAGTTTGGTTTATTCTAAGGTTCTCTAATAAATCTAAAGGAATTTAATGTTTGGGTTTTAGCTTAAGGGAATATTTTAATACAGTAACAACTATATTTACTATACATCAACTGTACTCTTACAAAGAAATAAAAGGACATAAAATAGGTTGATTCACGTACCAGGGAATTTTGAAGCTCATGTTGGTTTCATTTTGGGTAAAGATTAAATTAGGTATGACCCTTTCTCTTGTTTCTGAGAATTTACGTATGTGCCCTGGACTCCAAGATTTTAGCATGTGAAAGGCATACACAGCTGACCCTTGAACAATGGAAGGACTTGGGGTGCTGACCCCTCCAACCCCATGCATTTGAAAATCCCCATATAACTTTTGACTCCTCAGACATTTAACTACTCATAGCCTACCAGTGACCAAAAGCCTTATGAATAATACGATAATCAATCAGCACATATTTTGTGTTATATGTTGATATACTGTATTCTTACAATAAACTAGAAAAAATAAAACATTTTTTCAAATTGTTGCAATTCTCTAAAAAAAATTTCCAATATTTTGAAATTTCCAATATTTATTGAGAAAAACCATGTATGAGTAGATGCCACACAGTTCAAACCCATGTTTTCAAGGGTCAACTGTACTATGAAACATGTTTGATACAAAAATGATTATATTTGCAAACATATATGGTTCTGTAGGAAGGCTGACGAGTATCATACTCCTGTGAAACTTCAGATACAAGTTTTTTCTCCACAGATGGGGGCAGAAGGCATGGAAGGAGGTGCTTCAGGAAATCAGCATTCTCGGAAACTTGTTAGCTTTACTTTGTCAGGTAAGGATGTCTTCAAACATGGTATCAATTTGAAAGTGTATAATTAAAAAGACACCAAAGTCACTTCTTTCTGCAGACTCTCATACATGATATGGGAACTAGTTATTTTTTTGGTAATACTTCTGGAAATTCAAATATATCAAATTAGATTACTGATATAGACTCAGAAATTATTTCTTCTACCAAGTTTTCTGATTAAAAGACTAGAGAAAGGAAAAATTTGGAAACTAGGAAAAAGAAACCAAAGGATACTCCTATTTCTGTGGAGGAATACACATAGAAATTGGAATGTGAATAAGACAATTAAAAATTTTTTTCTGGTTAGCAAAATAATCTGATTGATTGTATGTTCATCATGTAACTAAAGCACTGGTTTTCATGTCATGAATTGGAACTCATTTGCGGTTTGTAAGGTTAATTTAGTTGAAACCAGCAACTAGAACAAAGAATAGAAAAAAATCTGTTTACCACCAAAAGGGAATTTTTAAAATAAAACATTGGTTTATACAAACTAAAAGTTTTCACATAAAATATATACACACCTATGCATGTCTATACTGTGTTTCAGTCTAAAATTTCATATGTAGGTCACTGTCAAAAAGTTTGAAAGCCATTTATTTAAAAAAAATTGATTGGCAGTTATAAAGTCAAGAAGACTAAGAAGATCAATATTTAAGTGGACTTCTAAAACAGACAACTGTAGCACAGTTCATACAAAATAAAATCTAACAGATGCCCAACACTGTAAGGTTTTGTTTTCTTTTTTCAATTTGTTTTCTTTTTTTCAAATTTCAACTGAAATTTAAATTACTGTTACTTTTCTTGGCTGCAAAAAAATCTTGCAAACGAAAATAGAAACCTCAAGAGTGAGTGTTGGAAGGCAGATCTTGAAAGCAGACATTTCCATGATGCATAATTATCACATATGACAGAAGTATGCACATTAGGTTGTTGCTGGCCCATGACCTTTGGAGTACACATGTCTGTTCTAACATGTTTCTTCCTCCTATGAAGGCCTTTTTGCTTTGGTTCTCTGGCAAATCTCAGAGCTTGTAATCTGGTGGCTTGTGGGTCAAATTTAGCAAATAAATATGTTTTAGCTGGAACCCTCAGGGTGTAAACAATACCATGCTTTTAGAAGGATACTCAGAAGTAGTACCACTACCTGCAATACTGCTACCCAACCCTCCTTCCTGTCTCCTGAAAACATGTCCCTTGGCTTCCTGTGCTTGAGACCACTTCACAGTCCTAAGCAGCTGCAGGTACAGAACTCCTTCCTTTATAGGTAGGGAGCAGTTAGCTAGCAATTAGCCAACATTTCCTCTATGGCTCAGGAAATTGAGAGTTTGACCGTTATTATAGTTGTCTTAATTTAAAAGCATTGCCCTTAAACTTTCACGTGATCTTTATCATTAAAAATAGCCACACACCTACTGATTTTGACTTCAGAGGGGATGTTAATTTACTTACCATGGGAGAATGAACATCTGGAAGTTGAAAATCCCAGGACATTTTCCTAAAAAGTAGGAAATAAACTTTGGAGCACAGCCAAATGCTTCTTAAATACCTTCTTCCAACATCCCACCTCAATATACTCTGTGGCTGGTTACCTAAAATCTGTTTTATTTCCTGCCATATAATCAGATATTTGCAGATGCTGTACAGAAATGGCTAAAAATTAATAAAAGACAAAAGCAATTCAATAGTGGTAATTCTAAAAAATTAATCTTGTAGCATATTGACAGGGGATGATAGCATTTGTCCAAGAGCATATAAACACTGGGGAATTGCTGTGCAAATATAATGCAGTGAAATAATCTACTTTGATTATCTATGCACAAGTAGGGACACAAATAATTGAATTTACAGGTAAAACAACAACTGTGCTTTGATTAATAATCTTAAACCTCTTCTTCAAATAAGACCTTATACTGGGATATTTAGCAGGTCATACCATTGTGATTTTGAGTTCTTGGGTCTGCTAGGTGATGTGGATATTTATGAGCAATAACATATAAAAGAGAAGCAAGAGCAGAAATGAGATGAATAAAGGGAACTGAATAATCAGACTGCAAGTAATTGGTAGCTTATTGGACTAACTAATGAAGATTTATTTGTACAGTGTCCCTGGTGGGAAAGTTTGACATGAGACATATTTAACAGTGCCATCTTTCATCACAGTGGCTTAATCTTCTGGGAGGTGCTTTTTGTTTAGAAGAATGTTTTGCATAAATAATTTAGCTCTGTCACTTCATGCCAGCCATTTCTGTACATGTTTCTCCTCATTTACTGCAAAGAAAGCCCTTATTTAGAAGTAGATTTAATATATAAAAATATCATTTTCTGTCTTCAAGGAAGAATAATCAAGAAAGGTAAGTAAATATGTGAATTGTGGTTTTCTCTCAAAGCTGTTTTATGCTAGGTAAAAGCAAGTGAAAACATATAGCATTATTAAATTGATGGAAAGATGCAAGTGCTGTATTAATAATGCTCCATAGCTTATGAAGTGCCAGGAATGGGGACTATAAGGCTAATGAGATTACAGAAGCTTCTCAGAGGTGCATGTCTAGTTCTTTACTCACCTTTCCCTTCTCCCCCTGGTTTTCAGATCAAAGATTTTACTGAATTTCATGCAGTGTTCTTAACAGAACATCTGGTTGAATTTTTCCATTTTTGCGGACATATGAAGCTGCCTCCCCCTACTGCCAGTTTTGTGTCACTAGACTGTCCTCGCCTGTTTCCATCACACAGATATAGGCCGCAGTTCTTGTTGGCCATTGGTGAACCCCCTCCAGGGAGCATTCTCTGGATAAACTGGGCCAATTCTGTCTTTCTAAGAAAGACTTTCAGTTTCAGGAATGGGCTTGAGTAGATGACCCTTGTGACCACCTGTAATTTAGGGTCACTATGTAGGGTCTCTTCCCAGCTGATCTGGGTAAACCAAAGGTCTTTGAATGGTTAGAGGCCATTTGCAGAGTTACTATCTGAATCAGTAGTCAGGATCTCCCTAGACTGATCATAGCTGCATAAAGTTACCTAGACATAGTCTATTATTCCAGAAGCTTTCAAGATCACTAAACTCTCAGGTCAACCTTATACAAACTGATATTCTCAGAAGCGCATGGGGACCCAGTAGAAGTTGCTTTATTGCCTAATATTTTGGTATCCCTTAGCCTGGCCATTTTTAAAAGTGTCAGTCTCTTCACTAAAAAGTCAGGCTTTAGCCAGAACTTTCAGTAGCTCATATAATGTGAAATAACAACTGGTAAATCTAAGATAAGTTATGGGACAGACATTCATGAAATACTGAAGTTACTTAACAGGCTATTGAAAAAATAACCTCACAGTTATTTAATACAGCATATAGCATTCAAGTTTTAGAAATATTTCTTACCTCTTTTATTTCCCTAGCATTCTTTGTATTTCTGGAAAATATATGGCTCTTTAAATGCAGTAAAACTGAATATGTGCTCTGAGATTTCATTCCCAGTTAAACTGAGGTCAATGCATTTCATTATGTATGTATGTATGTAAAAGATTGATTTACATCCCATGAAGGAACATACTGGTTTTGTTTTCTTTTAATAAACTGTTTACTAAGGATTTTTCTTGAGACATTGTCTGAAATGCTGGTTGCCAAATCATGTAGAAAAAGGGGATGAATATGCATATGTTAGAATCAAAACAGTTACCAGGAAAAGCCAGGATGTAAGGTGATGGTGAAACTGGCTTCATTTTTACAGCCTGTTAGGAAACCCCTCTGCTAGAATTAGTCACAACCCATTTGTCCTTGCTTATCTAAGTGATCATAATGTGAATAGCTTTGTTATTGTTTTATGAATAGTTTCTGTTCAGAGCTTCCTGTGTGATTATTTAAGGACAAATTGTCACTGAGCTGCTTGTTCTAATGAGGATATATGAAATCTTCCTCTTTCTGTACCTTTTTCCCTCCCTCTCTTCCCCTCCCTCTGTCCCTCACTCTGTGTTTCTTTAAAGATCTTAGAGCAGTTGGGCTTAAGAAAGGGATGTTCTTCAATCCTGACCCTTATCTTAAGATGTCCATTCAGCCAGGGAAGAAGAGCAGTTTCCCCACCTGTGCTCACCATGGGCAGGAGAGACGGTCCAGTATCATCAGTAACACCACTAATCCAATTTGGCACCGAGAGGTAAGATGGCTCCTCAGGGGTTTTCTAATGGGCCGTTAGGAAGTTGGCTGAGTCCATCTCTTTCCTCTTTGCATCACTAAGCTTTTTGTGTGTGTGGCAGGGTGGTTGAGGTGTCCGGGAATTCCGTTAGAAAGAAGGTATGATGGGAATGCCAGGTGTAGGGTAAAACAAGTGAGGTAATTATCTCAGGTGCATGATTTAAGGGGTCAAAAGACTCAGTAATCAAAATTAACATTTTAATGAAATATTTTTTAAACGGTCAATGCAAAAAATTTCACAATGAACAAAATATTAAAATTGTAAGTAAGGACAATTTCAAAAGCAATGCATTGCAGGGTCATCTTGGAGCCTGGGGCAGATGGATAAATCAGTAATACTGATCCTGCTTTGATTTAAACATTTGACATTTTGTTCTAGTTAGATTCAGCACAAAGTAAAGGAATTTCTCACTTTCCCGGCTTTGGCAAATGTATTTTGGGTTTCTAGACTTTGGTCAATTAAATGATCCATTCAAGGAGTTGTCATCCTGAGTGAAGCCAGATCGTGTTGATGATACTCTAGGCTTCCTCACAGCTCCGTTGTGGCCACCGTCATCTTAGTGCACTGCGTCAGTGCAGCCAAGCGACGGATTTTCTCATTAGAACTATGGAAAAGTCAAAGAATGAACAAAGACGTCATTTCCCATCTAGTGAGCAAAGCATGAGCTCTCCCGCCACATCTCAGGGATCCAAGCACATTTCACATCTCAGTGTCACAGTGTGTCTGGGTAAGCCTGTGTTGGCGTAGAAGTTATACAATTAATTAGATCATTCCCTAAATGTTTAATGACAACAATATACTCTAACGATGTTGTGGAAATATTCCAGCGGAGAGGAAGATAACTCAGGGCATGTAAAACCAGCTGGAGACAAGGCGTGGCTGTCTGAAGCTTGCCAATGCAGCAAGATGTTTCTCCCGGGCGGTTCTTATTTATATGACTAAGTATCCCTATACCTGGTTTAAAAAACTGCTTATGCTCTCCAATTAATAAATAACTCTTAAAGGCTTGCCACTTTTAACATACTTAGAAGCCTAGAAGATAAAAAATTTATCTCAATGTGAATCGTAGAAGGCACATAGAAGGTATAATAATGATACTAGCAATGACTTTATTTTCCTAACATTTTATGTTTATGAAGTTCTTAATGATGATAAAGGGGCATAAGGGATGAGACTATCGTCTCTCCATTTTAATGATTAAGAAACTGAAGCTTAACGTGTTTATGTAATGAGTATTCAGAGGTAGAAGTAGCGTCTGAATTCAGCTCTCTTATTCTAAGGAGGTGCTTTGCCCATTAAGCAGATAACTAAATACATGGCTTTCATGGCCTTCTGGAGAACTTTATTATGACTAAATAAACTTAGTGGTACCTAGGTATAGAGCTAGCTAGCACTGTTCACATCACGGTGGTTGCATGGATTCTGCCAGGGATGGAAGGAAATGATTCAGGGTAGATTCCTGGCCCCATCACTAACTTCTCCTGAGATATCCCCATCATCAAAAAGAAAATGTTTTCTTTGTAAAGATAAAATGAAGGTAGTATATGTGAAAGTCTTTGTAAATCAGTAAAGCTCTTTATATTTATTTTATATTCTTATTAATATCCAATCCTATTTTCTCAAGTGGTATTCTTAAACAAAACAACAAAGCTTATTTCAACTTCATACTTCCATTTTTTTCTGCCCAGAAGAAGTGACTCTGTGTGCCTTAAATTAAGTGATTTTCATTTAAAATTGTTTCATTTCAATATTTATCTGGGAAACCACAGTATTCTGTAGATATTCCTACTTTAAGCACTAAGTGAAGGCATGTTTTAACCTACGTCATACAACTTCAGAGTCCCATGGGATTAGGAATTAAAAGTGCTGTTTATCAAATATATTGGTTAATTCTGTAATTGTAATAAAGAATCTTATAACAGGATGTTAATTTTCAAAGAATTAAGGTAACAATAAATGCAGTGAGTACTAAAATTGTATTGTGCATAGCTTAATATTTGATAGCATCTCCTAAAACTGGTGAGCCTGGAAGGGCCAGATGATTGTGAATGCCTCCTCTGGTTATGCAGATCTGTGATTGTTGCTTTTTAATCATTGTGAATGTTAATGATTCTCAGTGAATGAAGGATTAACATAGTTGCAGATATTTCTAGCAATGTGGACTCTGTATGTCATTAAGATTTGAGAGGTATCATTTTCTGTAATAATGATATAATTTCTTAATGTCGTCCTTTTCAATCAGCATGTTATCTGTTTTTGTTTCCAGAAATATTCCTTTTTTGCACTTCTTACTGATGTCTTAGAAATTGAAATTAAAGACAAATTTGCCAAGAGCCGTCCCATCATCAAGCGTTTTCTGGGAAAACTAACCATTCCAGTCCAGAGGTTGCTGGAGCGGCAAGCCATCGGGTAATCAGCCCTCACTTGTAGGGATCTTGTTGAGATTGCTTTGTACAGAAGTAACTGAAATGATCCTTTGTTGTCCTAGGACTTTTCCTACTGATAAGAAGTGGTAACATATCCAATCCTATTTTCTCAAGTGGTATTCTTAAACAAAACAACAAAAATAACATTTTTAAAAATAAAAATGTTTGCCTGTCCATTAAAATGTGCAGGACAAAAAGCTCCTCATTTTAGTTGTATACTTTAAAAAATAGACATCTATCTTTTCCAAGATGTACCTACTATTAGCATTTCAGCGTCAGATGTCATAATACTGAGTTTGTTTTTGAGCATATTGAAATCTTGTTATAAAAGCTTCTCCCTAGAGCAGGATTCTAGTGTCAGGTTGACACCTCCCTTATATCCTGATTTATCTCATCCAGATAACCTTTTATTCCTGAGAAACAAAAGCCACTTTGTTTAGGGCCATTTAAAATGAGCTGTTGGCTCTGAGGGAGCTCCTAGACATACACATTCACTCAGGCAGCTAAGATTTACTCATTGAGAGAATTTTAAAATGTGATTGATTTCTGTTGCCTTTCTGTGAGCTTTCTGTAAGTTGTGAATAAAGTAGTTAAGAAATCGTAACATGCATTCATCCCTTATTATAAATGGTATATATATATATTTCATGTCAAATGCCAGAAAACTCAGTAACGCGGTTGCTCTGAGGTGGCACTGGGGGCACTTTGTGTGTCTTGTCCATTGTAGTAGAACATTGTAAACACACAGCCATGGTAGTTGTGGAGTCGTAGGCCTCTAGTTCTGTGCTTTTCCACTGTAAAACATTGCGGACGTGGTGGCAGTAAGAGCAGTAATGGCAATAAGACAAGTAAACAGAGGGGGTGCTGGGAGCTCGTCTGCGTCAGGACGTGCATGTCACCCTGCTGGCCACGGATTCCACGTGTGCCAGAAGGAAGTCCAGCACGAACTCATAAAACCTTGGAATTATGAAGTATTTCTATAGATGTACATTAAAAGCATTATTTGGTACAGATATGTAGGGATTTGCCTTTATTAAATATGAATGATACTACATAGTAGTATATCAGCTGCTAGCATCTAAATATATATTTCTGATCTGATTATTGCTTTTCAACAGATAATTGATACACCTTGAAAAAGGCTAGGTTTTCATTACTTACGTGTTTGGTAGGTAGCTACTCTCAGAAGTAGTTGGGGTTACAGGGTGTGGTTTTATAGGATGAGGTTAAGTCCTCGCTCATTACCTATTTTGAGAGCATTTGAATGTAACATTTTTCAGAGAGTGGCCTGCATTCTACCCAAAAAAACACATCACTGTCCCACGCTTTGTCAATTATTCTGATTACATTAGTGAAAGACCGTGTCAGTCAGGTAGTGAGAGTTCTTTAGCACTTATTCTTTGTAATTATAGATCATAATACTACATAATATACTGTTCTCAACAATATGTCACAACCAGAGGCAGGATGAGTTAGACGAGGCTGGTTAAAGCAAGGAGGCAGGGGAATCCCCTGGTAAGAGGCTTCGGCAAAGGAGGAACCCTTCACGAGGGGTCTTCACGAGGGAGGATTCCCCATGTTTATAGATTAAATAGTTGAATCCAGTATCTTGTCAATTTAGTTAATAAACAGCACTAAGAGTTGTTAAAATTATTTTTTCCAAGGAAAGAGTCTCGTTTGCTAGTTAATTTATTCAGCAAATATGTGTGAGTGTTTGTGGAAATATAGTGTCTACTAAGTGGTCAGTACTGTGTTGGCTACTGGGAATATGATAGTGAGAAAAATAAGAGAGATACAGTTCTTTCCCTACAATTCCTATTAAAGATTTATTTCCTAGCTAAAAGCCATCACTTTTGTAAATCTTCATCATCAACACCAACAGTTTATTTTTATTGGCCATGGACAAGGAGGGGAGGGTCTATTTATTCTTTACAAAGAAATTAAGATTTTGTTATTCTAGGGCTGAATGTCCAAAGAGATGGGGGAGGAAGCACAATGTTTGAGAGCAGCTCCATGTGATTTGCTGTTGGGTTCGTGCATTAGTGGACAAAGATCAAGCACCTCTGTGTGTCAGATGCTGTCTAAATGCTGGGAAGATAGTGGTAAGAGAAAGAAAGACACCCCAGCTAAGATTACAGCCATTAATATCATGTTATTTGAACACTGTAATGTACAAGCATTAAACATACCTGTGATGTCTAATAGTTACAGATTCCTGCATATTCCTATAGGGAATACTTTACAAAAACGACCAGTTTAAATAGAAAAAGCACTATGATAGCAGTCACATTGAGGTGAGCCATGGGTAAATCTATGTCATTAAAATGCATGCTACTGAAAGCAGCCTGACTCACAGAGAAAATACATGAACTGAGATCGTGGCATGGAGACTATAGAACAGGGACTTCTCTATCAGATGAATCTGTATTTTAACCCTAATTCGTCATGTAATAGTTGTCCAGTCTTGGACAGTTTGCTTATCCTCCTTATGCCTCAGTTTCCTCCTCTAGAAAACAGGGCTCCCACCAACCTCACAGGGCTGCTGGGTGGATTAAAGGAGATGAGGCATGCAGAGCCCTTAGCAGATTGTATGTGGCCCACAGTAAGCACTCAGTTTGGGGAAACAAAGCATTTTAAAAGCATCAATCAAGAAAAAAAATATGACAATATTTCTAGGGAAGAAAAAGAAAACAATAAAGGGAATAATCTTGTTTTAAGAAATTTGTTCTATGTAGTCAAAGAAATTCATAAGAGCTAACCAGGGATTTAGCATCAGCATAATAACATCCATGTTATTTCATACAGAGAGCATCAATTTAGAATTGAGGAGGTAGAGAAGAGCAAACAATATTGTTAGGCAAGTTAATAAAAAAAATACCTGACTAGAGGCTCTAAACAGTACAAATATTAGGTAAAGGCATTGTTCTTCTGAAGTTGCCATTAGAGGGCAGTGTTAGAGCAGAGATGGTGTGATTTGGTACTTCCCTTTGATTATTTTCCTTAATTAAGAAGAAATCAGATTCAGAATGAAAGTTGCTGGCATCCAAGGAAATGATGTGATTGCATTTGACTTTGTTTAAAGAAACACAGACTTGAAAAGACATACAGCTCCATCCTTGAGGAAGCCAGTTGCCTGAGCCTGGGGCCAAGGTGGGGCCAACTGGGCAGGCCCCCATGTCCCTTCCAGCACACCTCCAAGTGCTGCAACAGGACTCGGCCGCCACGGGGCATCTAGTAGCCTCTCTCACCATCCCATCTGTACCGCTCACAGGCCACCCTGGGAAGCAGTGACAGCCTGGCCACTTCAAGGCGTGGGAGGGGAGGTCCACAGCGCCTGCCCCCCACAGAGCCAAGCAGGTGGGGGGGGCACAGCCTCTTCTCCTGCCGCTCTATCTGGATAGAGCGGCACAGGGCCCTGCATGCCCTGTGTGATGATCCTTACCCGTATGTATCCTTTGAGAACCAGCTTCTTATCAGCCTAAATGGAACCAGGCCTTCTATTTACATCTGAGTCAGAAAACACTTTAAACTTTAGGACATTCATAGCTCCTTGGTGAACTTCAGGATACCCCTTCCCTGGCCATCCTTAGCAGAGAAAGAGCAAAATCAGTGTCCTTTAAAATATATATATATATATATATAAAATAATGTATTGCATTTCTGCTTTTACTACTAATTTTTCTAACAGATTTCCATTGATCTCTGGGGTTATAAGTATTCATTTATTCAAATGAATAATATTACATTGGACTATAATATACCTTTGAGCCTTCTATTTTCTTATGATCTGAAAGTTTTAAGAGAAATATCTGAGATTTGGGGTTAACCCACTGGAAGAAGATGAAGGATGACCCCAGTGTAGTAAGGATGAAAGAACCATTTCTCTTCTTGCAGTGACCAAATGCTCAGCTACAACCTCGGCAGAAGGCTCCCAGCTGACCATGTGAGTGGGTACCTTCAGTTTAGAGTGGAGGTTACGTCTTCTGTGCATGAAGGTGAGACTCCTGTATAAATACATTGCTCTAGGAAAAACTTAAATCACTCTTAGTTGTGGGTTTGCATTTGAGTAGAATTGAATTTATGTCCTATTCTGAAAATCAAATAGCTGTCAAATGATTACCTACTGAAGTTTTTCAAACAGATATGAAAACTGATAAATACCTCTTAGGTTTATGCCTGCATTTGGAAACTGGGCTGTAGAATTCCAGAAATAGTGAACCTCATATACCTTATATACCTCATATATCAGACTGACCAGCCATGTACTTGTCTATTAGTGAATGCTGAATCTTATCCAATCAATAATAATGTAAAGAGGCTTTAGTGGAATTGTTTGAACTGCTTGGTGACAAAGGAATGTGACCTTAAACGGTCATATGTTATTACTACTTCATTTTAATAAATGCTGTTTTCTCTTTCAGATGCTTCTCCAGAAGCTGTTGGCACAATACTTGGAGTCAATACTGTGAATGGAGATCTAGGAAGCCCTTCTGATGAGGAGGACATGCCAGGGGGCCATCATGACAGCCCCATTTGTTCTAACGGACCAGTCTCTGAGGAAAGTGCTGCCGATGGGATGCCCAAGTACTCTTTTAGGACTAGCTCTACTCTGGAAATTGACACAGAGGAATTAACCTCTACTTCTTCAAGGACCTCCCCTCCCCGAGGACGTCAGGATTCGCTCAATGATTATTTAGACGCTCTTGAACACAGTGGCCATTCCAGGCCTGGAGCAGCTACCTGCTCAGAGAGGTCGGTGGGAGCCTCCCCAAAACTAAGGAGTAGTTTTCCCACCGACACGAGACTCAATGCAATGCTTCACATTGACTCAGATGAAGAAGACCACGAGTTCCAGCAAGATCTGGGTTATCCATCTTCCTTGGAGGAGGAAGGAGGGTTAATAATGTTTAGCAGGGCATCAAGAACTGATGACGCGAGCCTGACATCTCAGTCGAAGCCAGAGGACAATCTGATGGAGACTGAGGAAGCCTTCACAAAGGAAGCGGCTGCCTTGGAGGATAAGCCAGAAAATCTTCCAGGGCTTGCAGAGAGCTCCTCCCCCTCAGGCCCAGTCCCAGATGAAAGTGAAAATGGCCCAGAATCTCAACCAAGTGCTGACCAGGGCAGCAGCGAATTGTGTGGCTCTCAAGAGGTAGATCAGCCTACAAGTGGGGCGGACACCGGTACCTCCGACACGTCGGGAGGGAGCCGAAGAGCGGTCAGCGAGACCGAGTCCCTTGATCAGGGGTCTGAGCCTTCCCAGGTTTCCTCTGAAACGGAGCCCAGCGACCCTGCCAGGACAGAGAGCGTGAGCGAGGCCAGCACTAGGCCGGAGGGAGAGAGTGACCTGGAAGGCGCCGACAGCTCCTGCAATGAGAGTGTTACCACGCAGCTGTCCTCGGTGGACACGCGGTGCTCGTCCCTTGAGAGTGCGCGGTTTCCCGAAACCCCTGCCTTTTCTTCCCAGGAGGAGGAAGATGGGGCCTGTGCAGCAGAGCCCACCAGCAGTGGCCACTCTGAAGGGACCCAGGGTTCCATATGCACTCCTAGTTCTTTACCTGTGGTGCAAGTGCCCAGTGGAGAGGAGAGGCTGGGGGCCGAACCCACCACTCTCCCTACCCAGGAGTTGGCAGCGGAGGTCTGGCAGCGGAGGGGGAGCCTGGAGGGGGCCGCTGCCGCTGCTGAGAGCCAGCCCCCGGAAGAGGGCGACGCTGGGGATGCCCAGGGGGCTTGTGAGGGGGCCGCTGCCCAGGAGGAAGGTGCTGCTGGAGGTAGGATGTGCGAGACCACATGGCTCTCTGCTCAAGCATAGCTGCTCAGAGGCTTGTAAGTTTGTCCCTCGATGTAAATTATACTGCAGGTCACCTGTTATCTGAATTCTTCACCTTGGGGTTTAACAGTTACCTGTTTCTTTAAAAAAATGCATCTTTTATTGCTGAAATAAGAGGCCTGTCACATAGCAGTCGCCAAACTTGAATAATGAACCTCTGGAGGGACCTGGGTTTGTAGAAATAAAACCGAAGAGGCTATAGCAGCTTCAACATTAGCATCATCTGCAGAGCTTTTCAGGAACACCTTCAGTCACTCCTCCCAGTAGAAAACCTTCAAAACAGTAGTGAATATGTACTTTGCATCAAATGTGATATTTTTGACTTCTGCTGTATAAAAATGCCAGCCAGGTCGGATGATGCACTCTGACATGTGAAAGATAAGCTGTTAATAGTGTCTGAGGATACGCATTCACTCAAAATTTGTTTTGTGCCTCATTGACTGTGGCTCAGTGGAATGATTCCTTGAAAAAGTTCTGTTATAGCAAGTCTAAGGATAATTTCCTACACCCAAATAGCATAGACTCAGAAAAGGGAATGATTTTTTTTGTAAATTTATTTTCCTACCTAAAGTATTCCCTTTTTTTTTTTTTTTGCTTCTGTTTCCTTCATTATCTTGCAGCCATTATATGGCCCTAAAGCATTACTGCATTAGCAGGACAGAGGCTGGCCTGGGGGCATGATGGGTGCAGACAGACATCTCTCTAGAAGACCCATTTCTGACGAAGCATTCACCTCCATTCTCTTGTTTCTGGGTCCTCATAGGGGAAGTGAGACTAAAGAGAGGAAGGAGACTAGCTCCAGGATTTATGTTTGGTAGTTTTTTTAACCAAGGCTGTTTTGGCCCTGAAGGGGAAGACAATACCAGAGTAACGTCTTACCTTTAATCCTAGGTTCTCAAGCCAACGGCCACCAGCCACTGCGATCACTGCCTTCAGTACGCCAGGATGTGAGCCGGTACCAGAGGGTGGACGAGGCTCTCCCACCAAGTGAGGACATATTAACTAAAGGGTCAGGGCCTCCCCCTGATCCAAGGGTGCAAGGATGACAGGCAGACCCATTCCATGGGACCTAAAAGGTGGATGCCCAGTCTCTGAGAGGAGCAGATCTGGAGGCTGCCACTCGCCATACCGATGTAGTCTGGGAAGTGCTAGGCTGGTGGGTCCTCTCTGGCATTGTTCTGCCAAATGAAAGGGCAGCCGGAGGAAAGTCAATTCTGTAATGCCCATGTGGTAAATATTATAATCAGGGAAATAGATCCAGATATTTTGGACAGTTGGGTTTATAGTGGAAATTTTTAAAAATAATTCCTAATAGTGGCATGAATTTTCAGTTATTAGACAAATGGGTATAATCTCTTTGAAAGGCCTCACTCTATGTAATATAATTTTTATTCACTTACAACATTTTAAATCATTAAGTACAGGAATCTGATTTTTTTTCTTTAGGGGCATGCAGAGAAGTGTTATTAATTACAGAAATAAATCTATCATTTGGAGCATACAGTTACTGGGGATTTGAGAGATACTTCATTTCTTTCATTTTCAAGAAACATGTAGCACTTATAGGAATGATGGTTGAGGATTAGGGACTCTGGGAAATAGTTATGCAACCTATATTCAAAGGTCTGAGTTATATCCATGGCCAGTCATAATCTGGATATATGAAATGTTCAGAATCCCTTAAAGCAATAATACTTTGTGAAAGCAAAGTATTTTGATGAATAATAATAAAGTTCAGTAAATACCACTTTTAAATACCACTGGAAAATTCATCTTTCTGTCTCACTGCTTTTCCTTTTCTTCTTATTCACCCTCTCTACTCACCCATTTTACATGTGATCATGGCAAGAGGCTGATGCCTTTGGCCTTCTGTGTTTTAAAAATGGCAGGACATTAGGGAGGGAGTGCATTTATAGGGCTAAATGCTTAGTGGCTCATTTTGGCGAGTGCTGCAAAAAAGCTAGATGGCATGACATACAATGTGTCTTGTACACAATATATGATACTGGCTTGATCCTTTGGGAATTTTTTTATGCACAGATCTTCCTATTGTTCATGGATTTGGATAACAGGGTGGTTACTCACAGGAGACATATATTTTAAGCAGTATAAAAAAATAAACATTAATTAGCTATTGTGTAATCTTAAGCAGGTGGAGGGAAATTTCCTTATTGTTTATCCTTGGAGAAAAGATGAGAGGCAGAAAAGAAAAATATTCTTGGGAGATACTAAGATATAAGTGGATAAAAATGACTTAGGAACATGACAGAATTCTGGGAGGGCTTTGATTAATAGTGTATGTGGATTAATAGTAAGTAGAGCTTCAGGGGCCAGGACAGGACACCATAGCATTGTATCAGTATATGGATAAATGGCATCCTCCTGGCCACATACAATTGCTCTGAATTTTGTTGGACCTAATTTTGCTGTCTAGATTGTATTTAATAAATACAGCTACCTTCCTGCTGAATCATGACTACTGTTTGTGATACATCAATGCATTTGTTTAAACCCAGATACTTGCACTAACAGAATGCAGATTAGGATGTTTATTTTTTAAAACAAACAACTGGCAATTCATTGTAATGAGTTGATATGTCCACAAGTAAAAAAGGCAATTTGATAGTACATCCTAAATGAGTGACTGAAGAAGAGGAAAAAGTTCATGAGAGTTGTGTCCTCTAATGCAACTTACAGCCTGCAAATTCAGGGGTTTATATAATCACGGGTAGGTTACAGATATGCTCTGGACTTACCTGTTCAACAGTGTCCTCTACACTGCTTTGACCCTATGTCTGTCTATTCCTTTGACCCTATTCCTATGTTGCCTCGTCCTTGCGACAGACTGATTTAATCAACTGGCTGCCCCCAGCCTACCCTGTTCTCTGCCTTCCTTTCCTAACCGGGCAACTCTGCTACCACCTGTGGCCATGCCTCTGACTTAGAGCGCTGCGTTCCACCTTCCAGACTGTCTCGTGCCCTCTGGCTTCACACGGTGTTTCCTCAGAGGTTCAGATAAAGGACATCTGGCTGAAGTGTGCAGATTCGTCCACCTCATAAATGACCTGGCTCAGCTATTTTAAGGCTAAGAATTATTTTTAACACTGTGAATTACAATACCTCAAACGTATAGTGCTTTCCAGTTTACAAAGCACTTTGACATGCTTTATTTTTTAAGGTTCTTTGTAACAGTTTTGTGAGGTAGATCAAGCAGGTCTTATCTGTAATTTGTAGATTTGGAGTAAAAAATCAGCTGATCTGAACTTTTCATTTTATGGAAGGAGAACCTGAAGCCCAGATAAATTAAGTAACTTTTTAAAGATCCCTAGTAAAAGCTGAGCACTGAGTCTCAAACATTTCTCCCCCTCTATCAGGTATTCTGATCTAAGATCAGAAGGGGAGGAACTATTGTGTAGATAAATGTAAATTTTGAAAGTCTGGTGACTTATGTTGTGGTATGTTATCTCTTAGGTGCAAGCAACAGCACCTCCTCAAGTCAGAGGGTTTGGGGTTTGGGGATTTTACTGAAACTCTGTTATATTGCAGTGTCCTGAGGTCAGACCTAGGAAGGCCCAAAAAGTGCCCAGCTTTTTTCTCCATCTGGGTTAAGATTGGTCACCAGCACCCTCCCCTGGAAGGGCCCTCTGGTGGAAGGAAAGTGGACATAGTGACAGCATGAGTGACTCTCTCATGGCCCAGACAGGTTTGCTCCATTAAGCATCTGATTCAGACACAGAAGCACTTTTCCTCTCTGTGTAGGTCACTCTCCCAAGACCTGCAGTGTAGGGAAAATGAAAATTCCCGCAGCCAGGGTTCTCACCTGACCCTAATCTTCTTGCCCGCTGTGCACATGCAGTGATGTCATACTTGGCCTACTGTGCAGGCTCAGGCTTACGCATGTATTAGCATCGAGCCACCATCATATAAAAGGGTGACCTCTGGGCGCTTATGCATGGAGGCAGATTGGGGATGGCACACTTTAAGTATGTGGACGTGGGTCCATGGGTGTGGACAGGATTCTAGTGCTGGACCTGCCACCACAAGAAAAAAGCTTGGTATAAGAACTCTTACCCCCTACATTCCATTGTTTTTCTGTCTCACCATATGCACTGAACTTGCCCAAAGCTGAAACCCTCTGGCACTACATGCAGGACAGGCTGAAACCTTGTACCCTGGGCTTTGATGCCCACCCCACCCACGTTCTTGATTTTTTTTTCTTTTTCCTTACTATTGTTCTTATTATTTTAGCTTATTTCACCTTAGAAATACTTGTGTACTAATAAATGAGGAAGCCAGCCAGCCAATTTATGCTCCTCCCTGAAGATTTACAAACTCAGTTAAGGGGATTCAGTGGTGTCCTTGCTATGCCATTCACTCTTACAGGTGGTCACGTGTAGTCTGCATGCCAGTGTTACATGCAGCAGTCATCACTATTTATGTAAAGCAGCGTTCCTTGTTTGCGTCCTTTTCCAGCTGTGTTCCTCCTATCTCAGGATCAGGGAACCCATCTTGGACTTGGTACAAAGACTGCTCAGCTATAATCATGAGCTGCCAATTTGTTCTAAAAATCTTACTTTTCCTTTAGGCTCTGGCATGCACTGTGACCCTGGGGGCTGTGTAACTTCAGCACTAGTTGGGAGATGCTCTAATTATCCATACAAAATAAGAAAGCTCCAGGTCTTGAGGGCAGCATGGCGCTATTGAGAGCCTCCCGAGGAAGCAGCTTGAGCGCTCTAAGTGCCTTAAGGATCCTGAGGTGACTGAAGGGCTGGCAGCTGGAGGCCCATCAGAGCTGAAGCCCACAAGACCAGTATCAGCATGACAGGTGCTGGGCTTCTTTATATTAAGATAAGTGAAAAAAGAATGGCCAGCTCAGCCCCTTCTGAAAAACTATTTTATTTTTCTCTTATTTATTGGCTCCAGTGTAATTGTGACCTAACCCATTGCTGCACTACAGATAATAGGACACTGTTGGATAAGTAATTTTCCTCCAAAGAGGATAGGAATAGGAATAGATTCACGAAGACAAGTCTGGATTATTGGGCTCACAGGATCCCAGAATTGTTGCCATATTGTTAGAATTAGCGTATTGCTTTTGTGGTGGGTTCAAAGAGGGTAGGCCTTTTTGGAAAAACACTGGAATGTTTATCATTTTCTGTGGTTGTGCACTTTCATTACCAAAGCGTCCTTTGGAATGAAAGCTTAAAAGAAGACTAAATCTGAAAAGTATAATTATAGAGTTTCTGCTGTTTCAAGGCTAGGAGCTCTTATTCTCCAGAGCATTGAAAGTTAAGTTTTGATGAAAGAATTGATAGTTTTAATCTAAAAAGTTCCTTTTTTAAAAATTGAATATTAAGGTCCCAAGTAGACAGTTTCTTGAGATTCTTCAGAACTTCCTATGCAAATAAAATACACATTAAGAAAAGAGCACATCTGGCCTGCTACCTTCTCCCCAACTGAGCACACCTGTGCAGCCACCCCTGGCACTGAGAAGTCCCTTTGTGCCCCTTCCAGTCACTAACCTCCCCTACAGGAGGGGAAGCAGACCTACTCTCCTGACTCCCAAAATCATAGGTAAGTTTAACTTACTTTTGTGCTTTATGCAAATGGTATCATACTTCCTTGAGTGTTAAAAAAATGAATCTTTCATTTCATTAAATCTGTCACAAAGCTTAATTTTTTTTCCTTAAAAGTACTTTTAATTCATTATAACCTCATCATCCAACCATTTTGGTGGATAACCATAGCTACTATAATTTGTTATAGTGGGTTTAAAAATTTACTTCACAACATGCAGGCATTTCTACTTTTTGAACCCAGTTATAACCAGCTCACACCTCCGCTTGTGGTGCTCTCACCCCGTGATTCACTCAGACAGTCCAGTGGTAGCTCCCCCAAATTCTTCCTGTCTCGTCATTGGCCTTCTTCCCAACCTCACACCTTCATCTCATCACCATCTGGATGGCCCAGTGGAGACCAAGGTTTAGTTTGAAGGCAGTCGGAAAGAGGATGACAAGATGAAGGTGGATCATAGGGACAACGCCTGCTCCCTTCCCACAGATGCTGATTCTAGAAGTTGGAAACATCTAATACATTACCCCTCTCTGCCTGCGTCTAGTGCCCTGCCTAGGGATTAATGCTGTGACAGTGGCTTTGGCATAGTTTTACACACTTTCTAACTCTCTGACTTCCCCTTGTTGTCCAGCTATTTAAAGGTTATTTGCATCTCAGGACGTCTAAGAGTCCACTTGGTTCTTCAAGTAATTCTGACACATACTGTCAGAGTCCCACACTTTGAGAAACATTTCTCTAGACAATAGTTTGTAAAACCTTATTGCCATAAAGCTCTTTATGCAAATGAAATCTTGTGTGAAAGACCAATATATACCACAGATACACCACAGATAATATTGGAGCTGCAGTAGCTAACGTGGAATTGGCAAGTGGGTCCAGAGCCCAACCTCTCAGGACCCTAAAGCTCCTGGCTCTATAAGGCTTAATTAATTACAGTTTACTTGGGAAATTCTGACCTAGGCATGAGTTGTTGCTAGGTTCTTACTGAACCTAACATACAAAAAAATGATGTCATTTTGGAAATTCTTGTAATTTTAGAATTGAAGGGGACCTTAACTATGTTTAATTATGCTCTCTGATTTTTCAGGTAGAGAAATTGGGGTCCACAGAGGTAAAGTAATTTGTTAAAGATTATGTAACAAACGTGACAAAACCATGGCCAGAAACCAACCTTCTACTTTCTAACCTAGCGTGCTACGTGCACACAGCTGCACACCCCAATACGCTGTTCTCAGTCTCCCTGCACAATGATTATATATCCCATTTTACAATGCTTCAAGGCAAGGAAGTGAATGCTGAGATCCCAGTTCTTCTAGCCTGCCTGTCTGATTGTAGACAATTTTCATTGTCTATGGAAGAAAATTTTGATGCTGGGCAATGAGTTCTTATATGCTTGCTTATCAAGAACAAACCAAGCCCAATATGAAAACTTATAAGACATTAAAACAACTTTACCCACCGCTCTCCACCCTACCAAATAACTCTGACAGATATGGTAGAGAGCTAACCTTCCTACAGGCACCTCTGCTGTTTTTGCTGGATGGAAGGGTATTGACTGCCTGGGTAAGAGTGGACATGTAGTTTAAGGGCAGGCCAACAGCATAAAAGTGTCTCCAATCCAATGCCAAGTGTCCACTTGAAACCAGCAGTTTAACATTTCTCTGTGTGGGGACTTAAATTTAAACAACCTCAATTTAAAGATGTAATGTTTGATAGGAATAGTCTTAATACGCACCCCAAATCCTATGTTCTTAAAAAATATATTTGCAGATCTCATTTTCATGTTCTCCCCATTGCATACAGAAATGTCTTATCGAAATACAAATTAACATTGTTCTGGCCTTTATAGAAAGTACAACAATCATTCTTTTTCATGGCTTGTTTTTGAATTATTTGTTCACTCATTATATGCTATATGCAATGCACAGGGAGAATGTATTTGGAGATCCCCCCTCCACCCCCCATTTTGCCACCCATATGGCCCTCATACAGGCCACATTTCATAGGGTAAATTCTTACTTAAGTTTGTTTAAGGAAAAAGTTCTGTCTTTGAAGATAAGTTTTTTTTTACTTTCTTTTGTCAGAAAATGGAAAGTATGCAGCAATGTGTTTTCTTTTCTGCCTGAACTGCCAGAAAACTTAGAGCCAAATTTCAGTTATAACTTTATCTTGGAAGCTTGGCAGCAACTCTCTTTCTGCTTGCTTTAGTTGATTTTTGTTCTGTTTTTATCCCTAATTGACCCATTCTACATTTTTTAAATTGGAAGCTACTGTAAACATTCTTGGGGGAAGAAATGGCCATTTGTTTTCAAGTGCATTTGATTTGACATATAGTAAGTGCTTGAATTATCCTGGCTCTAATGAGGAAAGAATGTGATGGGAATAATTGGTTCTCAAAATCTTTAAGATGGGAAAGTATTCAAAGAGCAGAGCAAAACAATGGAATAGATCAAGGGGTTTTGGGAAATGGTGCTTGAAAATGTTTTCATGTAGTTATTATTTATCAGCATATGGCACGCTAGGCATGAGGCTTTTGAAATGGCCTGTTGATGGGATTGTAACTGTGTCCAAAAAATTCAGATTTGGCGTCCTGTTCATTGTGAGTCTGTGTTACCTCATAGCAAGAGTGACAGTGTGTTGTCTGTTGTCTGTGTGGTGCTTTTCATCAGCCCAATTTTTCTTTCTCTTGCCATTTGTCATAAATTGCAATGTGCTGAGAGCAACAAAAAAATATCTTTCCATTCCCTACTGAGGTAGCCTTCAATGACTGTCTGGTGCTGGCTGGGACCTACCACACAGGTCTTTCCAACCCGAAGGACTTTGTTGGAATACCTGCTCCATTCACCTCCAGAGCAAAGGTCCTGTGTGTTCAGGAGCAAATATCCCTTCCTCCTAGTCTCCAGCAATAGACCCATGATGTCTGCTAATAAACTCTATGATCAAATGGAGAGTTTTGAAATAATCAATGTGCTCAGGAGAAAGGTGCCTATTAATTTCAAAAAATAATTTGCATAGAAATAGAAATAAAGAAATCTCATGGTTAAAGAATAGAACTCTGCTTTTTCATATGGTCTTATAAGTTATCCTTTCCAACTGCAGCCAATTTCAAAATTTTGCCTTTTGAAAAGATCAGCTCACACTGTTTATTTTAACAGGGAAATATCTATGTAGAGAGTGACAGAGGTAGGACGTCTGGCTCTGAAGACTAGTCTGCTTTATGTGTTTACTGAACATGGATGTATAAATTTACTTACAACAATGAGCACACTTAATGAGGTAGCTTAAACATAAAATTAAATAATCTTTTAAAACACTGCATTTATTTGAGGTTGGAGGCAAGTAATTACCCTTGCTCTGAAAGTGAATTCATCTTTGGCAAAGTGCAAACGGCAGTTTGTAGATAATGATACTGTTTGATGACTAGGCTAACATTATGTCCTTCTGAAGACCACATTTTCTAAAATTGCATCTAAATATGCACATGGAAGTTTCTAGCTATGAGTCGCTCATCTAAGCTGGAAAAAGCAGGGAAAAATTGAATTTTTGGTGAAAACAAACATCAATACCAATTTTGATGTGAATATCTAAGGTTTTATAATACCAACCACTGAATTTTTAAAACACTGATGCTCATATATGAAGGATGAGCATTGTGGGCAGATCTGGAAGGATTCTTCTGTTCATTCAGAGATTCTTTAAAAGGTTGTTATTATACACACAGGTTATATTTACTAACCAGTCACAATGGATTCCCAAGTAGACTGGGGGAAGTGCTGGATTATATGCAATGAAGTATATATTATTAGCCCCAAATTACAGCACGTCAGAGAGGGAAAACACAGGCAGAATTTAGGGAAGCATGATAATGGCCTCAGCTCCTCCTCCTAAACCCTGTTCATGCTTTACTGCTGTTTAGACTGGGAGGCGCGCATTGACAGCCACGGCAGAATCTTCTATGTGGATCATGTGAATAGAACCACGACTTGGCAGCGGCCAACAGCGCCCCCCGCCCCACAGGTGCTGCAGAGGTCAAACTCCATACAGCAAATGGAGCAGCTGAACCGGCGGTGAGGAGGGGCATTTTTGTTCGCAGGGTTCTGTTTTGTGATCAGGCTATTTTTACACGGCACAAAGTAGAAAACAGAGTTGTCTACTGTCCTGTCATTAAGGTCTAGCTGGTACCTCTTTTAATTCATAGACTTCATTGAACTTGGTTAAAAAAATAATAACCATACACATACACAGCTTGTTTAGAAACAGGAGAGGAAAGAAGTGATGACCCCTCTAGTCCACCCAAGGAATTGATTTTTAGTGAAAAAGTTTCTAATTTGAAGCCAAATATCGTTAAAAATATCTACCATCTTCATATATAATGCATCTTTATTATAAATCTAAGCTTTTTAACTCTGTTCTTTTTCAAGAACTAATTGCAATGGAACAAGAAGTTGTTCTTCTCTTTTAACAATATAAGGACTTAATTTCTTTCGACTGAAGCCCACAAATTTTATTAATTTGTTAGCAAAATGTTTCACAAACAATGGACAGAAGAAATTCAATGCAATGTACTTTACTTAAACAACAGCTGGCCTAGAAGGTCAGGGAATAGGAGTATGGGGAGGAAACAGCTGAGGCTGAGGAGACAGTGAAAACTCCTGGGCTCTGGGGGAGCAGTCAAGTCCTTCATTTTGGAGGCACTGTGATGTGACTCCAGGCTCCTGATTGCAGGTATCAGAGTATCCGCAGAACCATGACTAATGAGAGGCCTGAGGAAAATGCCAATGCTCTCGATGGGGCAGGGGAGGAGGCTGACTTTCACCAAGCCAGTTCAGGTAAGAGCCTTTGGGTTGGTTTGTTTTGAAATCCCACAGACGTAGAAAACAAATAAGGATTTCTAAGAAATGAGGCTCTTCTTTCAGTGCACCTTTGATCTTTAGTAAGATCTGGTAATCCTCAAAAAGTAGAGTTCACCAGAGACCTCTTCTAATCCTCGACTTTTTATTAGTACTAAGAAAAGGATCCCCAAAACAAATAGAATATAAATTACTCTTATCTCTGGATCTATGAGACAGTGCATAAAGATTGAATCTGACCACTTAAAACATCTAAGGATGCATTAAAATGTTAACAGTGACTGGGAATATTATTCAATTCCATTTTTGTGTAATTAAGACCAGTCAGGTTTTATGTACAAATGTGCATCAAAGAAAAAAAGTGTTTGAGTGATTAAAATAGTAGTGAATGATATAGGTATTCTTTGGTTCTTTTAAAATATAGATGGAAGTGGATAGATACATTTGCCCCACATGGAAAGAATTCCCTGAAAGCCCCTATGGTCTTCCCCCTCTAGATTTCCGACGGGAGAACGTCCTGCCCCACTCTACCTCCAGATCCAGGCTCACGCTGCTGTTACAGTCTCCCCCTGTGAAGTTCCTCATCAGCCCAGAGTTCTTCACCGTGCTGCATTCTAACCCTGTGAGTATCAGATCTGGAGGTATGTGATGGAAAAAGCAACAGGCCAGAGGAAATCATTTCTATTTATGCAATAAAAGTAAGAATGATAATAGCTAATATTCACTGAGCACTAAGTGTTCTCACCTCTGTGTTAAGCACAAGACATGTTTAAGCCCATTTAGCCCAATCATCTGAGTTAGATAAAAACACCCATTTTTCTAGGTGGAGAAACTGAGATACAGAGAGGTTAAATGCCATTACTAAGGTTATATAACCAGTAAGTGGTATTGTTGGGGTTTAAGTCCTAGAGAAACTGACTCCAGAGTCTTTGATCTTAATAACCAACTAATTTTGCCAGCACAAATAAAACTAAATGTCTTAGTGCTGACAGTAGCCAATCATCAGATTGGGCTTTGAGATTGTGGTACAGGTTCTCTGAAAGAAGGAGAAAATATGAACTTTATATATTGCTGTAATCTAAAAAGTAAATCAATAAGAAGAGGGATATTTTACAGATAGATGAAGCTTGTATGGAAGATAAGGGATTTTTTGAAGGGTGCCTTAGTAATGTGTTTAAGATGAATTAGTTGAAATTTCCCTCCTTTACTAATGTATTCATATTCTTTAGAAGTCTTACTGCTGTGATTTCACAACAGACCTAAAAATGTTAGTGTCAGCTAAAAGAATAAATCTTTTGTTAACCAGAGGATTATAAGAAACTTTAGGCTTTAAATCATTGATCTAAATAAAGAGAAATCACTTGTACTCTCTCCTTATCTATTTTTTTTCATTCCTTCAGCCCTGACTTTTAACCATAATTCTACCCCCTTTCCTGATCTTGGTTCCTTAACCAAGAAACTTCTCACACACTTACCTCCCCCTTATTAAATTCTCTTGACAATCAGTTTCTCTAGCGGTACTCACGTGCCCCTTTCCTGCATTTATTTTGGAATTACAGTCTGGAATGGAAAGTTTTTATATTGCTCAGGGAGTGTCAACCTCCTGAAACCACTAGAGTATATGAAATCCACAGGTGACAGTGAAAAATGTGGCACACTTGTGTTCTGGTTATGCAACATATTTGTCTAAAATATTTCTAGAAAAAAAAGAGAAGGTTTGCAAATACTATATAAATATAGGCAAAACTTTTATGTTTGTGTGAAGAATAAATTTTAGAGGGTGATAGGAAAAGTTGGCTAGAAGGCATTTCTTTGTGATGGGAGTCTTAAGTTGTATCACAGAGTAAATAACGGATATTGGTTGATAAAAATGGGGTAGGAGGGCCTTCTTGGCAGTGGATATGAATGAGCATAGAAGTGAAAAATGGGTTATATATACATGCTGATTTTTCATTCATCTAGTAACTATTGTTGAAAATATGATTTATGCTAATAATGATGGTAGGTGCCACAGACAGAGTGGGGACTAAGATAAAGTTCTTACCTACAGTAGACAGAGAGTAAGGGTAGTTTTAGAAAGATGGTTATAGAACACCCCTCTGAAGAAATAATTTTTGAGTTGAAAGCTGAAAGACAAGAAATCGTCAACCATGGGAAAAACCAGGGGAAGTTCATTGGAAGCAATTGGAACAGCAAGTGCAGGGACTTCGGGGCTCTGAAAAGTGAGCAGAGGAACTTCTATGTGGTTTTAGAAAGAGCGTATTGCATGCAATTGAGTTGGAAAGTCAGCAGGACTGAGATCATCCATCTGGCTGTAGGGCATGGCCAGGGGTTTGGATTTTATTCTGAGATGGGTGGGATGCCATCATACACTTCGAGTGCTGTGCTCTGATTTGCAAACTGTAGAAAGTCAAGAGTAAAAGCCGAGTGATGAGAATGACAGTTCTTCATGGTTGATAAAACCACTTAGTGGAAGGTCAATGCTGATTGAAATCATGAGGTCAGCATGAAGCTGGAGGGAAGTGCATGGATTCAAGAGACATTTTGAAGGTAGAATCAGTAGGACTTGCTGAAAAATTGATTGTTAGGGGTCAATAAAAAGGGAATAAATAAGAAATACTTTAGGGATTTGGTTTGGCCAAGGAGTTAATCTTGTTGGATCCATTGTGCTAATGTGAGAGTAAACAGTGCTAAATTTGAAAAGGGATGAGAGAGAAATAAAGTAAGAACTTTGTTCCTGTGCGGTGTTTGGGTGTAACACAGTGGGCAAATATTGGACTTGTATTACTTCATTTGGGGTGTGCCATCCTATTAGCAATGTAACAGCACAATTTGAATTTAATATGTATAATTAACATTTCATTTTCTCCATTAATTTCTTAAATCTAGATCTTGCTTCTAGTAAAAAAGCAGCACACTTTTTCTGTAAAGGTCCAGAGAATAAATATTTTCAACTTTTGGGCCAAGAACAACATGTAAAGAATGAACATGGCTGTTTTTCAATAAAACTGTTTGCCAACCCAGCCAGCCAGCGCATGGGTCCATAATTTGCCCACTCACTCCTAGTTTAGACAGCCCACAACACCATAGCAAGACCTGATTTCTGTAATGTTATTAGTTTCACCATGGCCAATTTCAAGCTGCCAAGAGGACCTTCCTAAATACCAAGTTCTAACTTCTCTATGTGGGCTGCCTTCTTTAGTATAAGTACCTTATCACTACAGTGTTTCAGGTAGAGGCTGAATTAATAGTTATTGGGTCATGATATAAGGCTGAGACTTTTAAACTTGGTAGACATCTAACAATAAATGCATATTCTTGGTTCCTACAAAGTAGAGACACTGGTTCACTATGTATGGAATGGGTCCCAGACATCTGGATCTTTTTTTCTTTTTGGTTCCTTAATTGACTTTGATATAATTGGTCTGTGACTTGTAATATGGAAATTCCCATTATAAAGAGATATTGCATTAAATAACCTTGCTGCCTTTGCCACAGTATTAATAACTCATCTGGACTCGTGACAACTAAATTGTTTAATGCTGTGAAAATACTCAGCAGCTTGCATGTTTTTGCTTATTTTGTTTTCATGTTTTCGTTGTTTTTCCCTTTCCTTATACATGGCTTAAAACTTCTTTTGCTGGGAAGCCTATCTTGATTTTAAGGTATTCTCTCAAAAGCATTTTAATTTTTTTTTCCTCCTACCTGAACTGCCTTATCTACTGGCTGAAAACATAATCCATGCTGTGCATCTAAACATTTCTATAATATTTCAATTCTATTGAGTTTAGGAAGGCTTATTCTTCTGACCTATATATGGCAGAAATTAAAGCAGCTGAATTTTTCTTACTGATGGTCCCAAGGTATGGAAATAAATAAGGAAGATTTTTTGTAAAAGGGAATTATTTGATGGAATCTCTTGTGTTTCCTAGATTAGCAGAAAACGTTGCAAAATACACTTTCAGTTGGTTTCCTTAAGATTTACTATCTACTTTTTTTTGTACAATTGCTTGTTATATATAACTCTTTCAGTAGGTGCCATGTGTGTTTATATTATTGAAAATGTTCAACATACAGAAGTACTGTGAAAGCTTTCCTAATTATTTTTATGATTTGAAGGTATCAGTTTATATTGAAAGATAGCCATGAACAATACATTGTGTGTAGAAGTAACTGCCTTATCATCTTTATTGAAAAGAACAAAATATATGGTTGTCATAACTCTAAAGGAAAACTTGAGAAACAAAATATTGCTTGTTCTTTTTTAAATTTCCTTTATGGTTGCTTTAAGGTACATACTACTGCCCTCTGCTGGTTTTGATCAGATTTCTTCCAAAATTGTGAAATGTTTCTCCTAAGTCAAGATTTATAGTGTCATGTCTTCAATAGTTCGTTTGTAGCCTTTGTCTAAATAATGTCATGCGTAAAAATATTTCATTATATGCCACTTAAAAAGGTTTATAACATACATGCCAAATTATTACTCTGGCTTTTAATAAGCTCTAGAAATATATTAATTCTATCATCTAAACTCCTTAGTACTTAATGAAGAAAAATATTATTCCAAAATATATATATTCTTACAAGTCATGAATTCCTGCTACTACAAAATCAAAGAATTGATAGTTTACAGTTAATTTTGCTAATAAGTTAAATTTCCTTCCATTTTGCTCTTTATCTAGATGAGAACAATGTAAAATCTTTTATGATTGAAAATATTGTAAAGACAATTGTATATAAAAGAACTGTTTCCATATCCCAGCATATGTCTAATGGAAACAATGTTACTTGATTTTGTTTATAATAAATTTTGTTAACAAATAATGTATACAGATATTCATATCTTGCTCCCTTGTATGAGAGATATGCTGTAGCTACAGATAGATGATATTTTCCAAGTGTGAATTCAGAATACATATTCTTGATGAAGGGTTACTGAAATATGAAAGATAGATTTTATTTAGCACTAATGTACTTGATACCTATGTTATTGAAAATAATAGAATTGGATGAAATCAAGATTAGATCAGGTAATCCTGGACATATGGCCACCGTAACAAAAAAAGCTGCCAAAAAAAGAAAAAAGGATTGTTATTATTTGCATTGTGGATGATTGATAAGAAATAAGTGTTTACGTATAATTTTCTTATTCTGCTGTCAAATGGCAATAGCATTCCCCTCAACATCCTCTTGATAATTTTCACTTCTGACACCTCAACACTTAACCAAACAAAACACATCAAGCTCCAAGGAGTGTTATTTTAACAAAATTCAGCTGAACAAATTCAGTTGATCATTCAGTTGGTCATTCATTCACTCATCTAGTGTTTATTTCTTGCTCAGAACAAGAAAGAGGAACAACCGAGAGGAATGATTGTAAAAGGCATTTTGGAAAAGAGAAGGAATAAATCAAAGGGACTTTTTAAAATCACATCAGGAAAATAAAACTTTGTGCCCTTTAGAGATCATTTAAGGGGGATCTGTCTACCTCTAGCAGTGGCCAACTCTCCTTACTGCCTGTGAGTCCACACGCAGCCACTGCCCAGGCGAGCTCATGGTGTACATTCTCATGAGATTATGTATGTTATAAAATAGGCCCTATTTATCCTTTCCTAGTCTACTTTTGTTTGAGGTAGCAAGTCATATCCCTCTACTGCATCTTTTTTCTGGAAGACCGAAACAAAACAAAATACCATTCCAAGCACAGAAAAGGATGCTCACTTAGAATCACTAACTCCCAGAGGGAGAATAAAATTACTCTTTTTCTTAACCCACAGCTCTGTCAATGTCAACTTTCATGAAGACTAAACTCTTTTAATCTAATCCCACCTATTCAGTGTTTCTCAACTCTCTGGACCACTTATTCTTAGCTCTGCTGATTCTATCAGTGTGTTTCAGTATTTTCACTGCCACTGTGGCCTTTGTTTTCCAAACTCTACTTTCTGCTTCCAGTGAACCTCTTCCTCCCACATCCCTCTTTAATTTGCCTTCTCCATCCTTTTGTGTGATCAGGCCATACTCATCTCTGTCCTCAGGGTTTAGCACATAATGAAAGGTTTTGCAGTTAATAGGAAGTAAGATGCTGGCCCAAGATCTTCAAAGGCCTCTCTTATAAGCGTGGTAGTAATAATCCCTTATATATTCTTTTACAAAGCTACTTCTCTATGTTCTTCCAGTGATTTTTACCTCTTCAAAGCACTTTCATATCATTTGTTCCATTGAATCTGAATCTTACCTTCCTATGAAGAAAGCAGGGCAGTTATTATTCCATCTTAAATGTGCAAATTGAGGCAAACAGAGATTCAGTGACTTTCTTTGTCTCTGTGAATGATGGGGTTGTGACTAGAATCTTTTGTGAGTAGAAACTGGAGCATAAGTATCCTTTCTGAACTGTGTGTGTGTGTGTGTGTGTGCATGTATTCAGAAATAGTAAGTATAATGTATATTGAACAAATATATATAAAGTATATATTAAAAACAAACATCTATACATATATATGAGTACATACAAATACATTTATAAACACATATGTAAATAAATATGTGTACATAGTTTCTTTATTAAACGGTAGCAATCTAGAGAGATGTTCCTGCTGCTCTAAGGTTTTATACAGATCCTAACAGTCATGTTGTGCATGTTATTCAGACCTGAAGAGCTATGGTTCTAAGGTTGTTTGCTACTAATGAGAGAAATCTTTCTTGCACTTAATTTACTGTGGTAGATGCTTTTGCACAGATCAGTTGAACTTCACACTATATTACAGGTCTCCTTGAGTGGAGAGGAGGAAGATGAAAGGACATAATTAATTGTAGGAGCCTTAAGACTCCTGAGCTTAAAGAGCTGTCCAATCCCAGGAAATGACTTCAAGCCTGCGGCTGGGATGGGTTCCTTTACCTAATTACCACTACTTCTCACCCTCATGAAGTTCTGCATTAATGTGAGATGTATTTCTGGTGCTCTAGAAAAAGAATCAGAATATGACTTACTTGCTTATTTATGGAGAGAGGGAGGAGCGAGGGCGACCAAGAAATAAACCCATTTAGAACAACAGTTAATGTAATGACTTACCTGACAGAATTATCCCACAATAATTTGTTCCCAAAGAGACTTAGCAAGTATGACTTAAAGCACATGACCGTCAGCACCACACAAGCTGGAGTGGCCTCAGGCCTCAAAGCCTGCAGTGGTTTATGTGAAAACAGAGCAGCAGCATGGAGCCAAAAGCAGAAAACAGATGCCTTGCTGACTACGTAAAACTCCAAGGCCAGGTCAGCCACAGGCTAAACTATTAGTTAGCTAACGTTTGTCTCTGACAACTTTCAGCTTTTATTAGTCTCCTTCTCTGCTTTCATGGTATCAGTTTCTTATTCCCTCATGCCCTCTAAATTGCCCAGAGCCACTGCATAGGCCTGCCCGCGTTGGCAGCACTCTGTGCTCTGAACCCCACAGTTTCTCTCAGCCATTGAAACCTCCTCTAATTAGACTGTCAGGGTGAAATACAACCTCCAAATATTCTATTCTCAGGCGGACTTAGGAAGCAGTACTCTAGTATTTGAGAACATTCAGTGTAGTCTCCTTTTGTCCTCCTTCTTCCTTCCTTTTGTTGTAATAGGGAAAACTATTTTAATGCAAAGTAAAATATCTATAATGATAGTGAATCAATCTCAGTAACTGAATAAACTATATAACTATATTATCTTGTATAGTTCATTATATGTTAGGGACGGCAAACCACACATCTCAATGGCTTAAGCTGACAAAGGTTTGTTTTTTGTTCCAAATTGGGCTGTCAGTGTTCTCTGGTCCCTGTCATCACTCAGAGACCCAGGAGCCCTACCAGGGAGCAGCCACCACTCCAGCATGGCCAATTGCTGTCTTACTTGCAAAAGGGAAGAAAGCTGTAGTGGGACTCACATCAGCAATAAATGCTTTGGCACTGACATGACACAGCTTGAGGAACCCTGGAAAGCAGAAACAGTGTTCACTGTCCTCTTGCCCACTCCTCTTTTATCCTCGCTAACTACCACACTGCTAGGCATAGCAAAGGACAGTAAACATTCATTAAAATGAAATGATTTCCAGAGATTCTAGTTTCTCTTAGATTTGTCTTGTTTTATCTTAGACTGAAATAAATAATAGACCCAGTGAAATAAAGCCTGAAGTCTAGTGTCCCCTGGGATACTACAGGTGAGAGGAACCCAAAGCCCTCTGAGTCTGTCTGAGAAGAGTAGAATTCCATATTAGATCATTCGTGGTCTGGTCAGTTTCATGACTATCATATTCTTTCTGATGATACAAGAAGATGGCTCCATGCGGTTACTCCTCCTTCTCTACTGCTTGGCACTTGGCATTGTGCAGTAAATATTTGCTGACTGACTCATTTGTGGGTAGTCTGTGGCTTATGGTCAATTTTTGGAATCATCTTTAAGCATTACAGAGGTGAAGACTACAGTGTTTTGACAAAGCAACCACTTTTTTGTGTGGTAGTATAGTGGAGTACAGTCCGGGCAGTTCTGCCCGACATTCTGGTCACTTAGTTATGCTTCTCAGAAGGTGTGAGATGAAAAACTTCAATCTAATATAGTCTCAGTTGAATATGACTCTATCTCAGTGAAAGCAACTCAGCCCATTGCATGTGCTTTTAAGATTTAAATTTATGGCCAAGCAATTGTGCATACCACTTGGCTCCTAAGTGGATGCCAGCTGTTCCATATGGCTCTCATCAGAGGCAATGGTCTATTCCAGTGCTGGGGGAAATGCTGGCTGCTGGGTCTCACCGTCAGGTGGGACATTTGTCTCTGGCATGATGTGGTTTTTGCCTAAACCAGTGTTAGGAACTAACATCCCCTGTAGAATGAGATGCCACAGCATTCTTGGGTAGAAAGCTAGACTTCATCAGTGAAGGCTGTCTTGCTTTCCGCAGTCTTTCTATTTTGTTCTGATCCAAGTATGTTCCTCTGTCTGCCATTTCTATGAGTGGGCCTAGAGTTATGCTGAAGCCTGTATACCTACCAGAAGACTGCGTATGCCCATGTGTAGTATATATGTTGCTTTTGCACACCAGCAGCAGGTTAACATTGGTTCTCCGTCCTTTTCTCCAGAGTGCCTACCGCATGTTTACAAACAACACGTGTTTGAAGCACATGATCACCAAAGTCCGGCGGGACACCCACCACTTTGAACGCTACCAGCATAACCGGGACCTCGTGGGATTCCTCAACATGTTTGCAAACAAACAGCTGGAGCTGCCGCGGGGCTGGGAAATGAAACATGATCATCAGGGCAAGGTAACGCGAGGGGCTTGGTATGGAGAAGGGGCTGGATGACTGTGGGCAACTATGGCTTTGGCACTTGGCTCTACCCTTCTGGTGAGGGTTGAAAGCCCTTAGTTAGGTGAAACATTCTATCTCTGGCTTCTCCAGATTACTACAAACAGTGGCCACATGTCCTGAGGTGGTGTATGGATTGGATGGGTGTAGGGGCACATGTTTGGCTGAACACTCACTGTCGCCTGAATATTCTTCTACCTGTAATCTCTCACCATCTTCTGCTAATTAAAGAAAAGGTTTCTTAGGCAATGGAACTTCCTTCTCCCTAGTTATGCAGCTTGTGTTATAGACAGTTGATTAAAAAGCTGTGGTATTATTGAGAGAAGGTGGCTGGGAGGTCACCAAGCAGTGGCACAGGTCACTGTCTTTGTGTCGCTCTGGGTTTGGGCCTCAGTCCTGTTGGTTCAGAACCCTGATTGTGTTAGCACATTAAACAAGACTCACAGATTGATTATTTTATGATGAGAAATATGTAATTGTGTCACACAGGCCAGAGTAACCACATCTGTATTTCCTTCACAGACAGATGAACCAGAAAGCCAGATAGAATCAGATGTTGTTACATAAGTATGATATCAGAATGAGAAAGTTAGTCACTTTTATGAGGTGTTCCTCAGCTAAGACTTTATATACTTATCTCTTGTTAAGTACCTACTATGAGCCATGAGCTGTTTAAGTTTTTAATATGTTTAAGTTCCTTAGAGCAACTCCATAAGGGCAGTCCTAGTATTATTATTTCCATTTATAGATAAGGAGCCTCAGGTCCAAAATAGTTCAGTGACTTGCCCAGTGACACAGGGATGGCAGTTATGGAGCTGTGGTCTCATCTAGGCAGTCTGATTCAAGGGTACGTGCTCTTAACCATGACATTATGTTCTCCAAGTATCGAGTAAGCAACCTCAGTTGCCCTATGCCTACCAAGACTTTAAATAGGTGACTTGAAGGGTGGAGAGGATTCAAATGACATGATATTTAACTATGCTAGGCTCATTCATTCAATAAATGTTTATAAGGTACCTGTAAACAACAGGTAAGCCAGCTACTTCATGGAACTACTATTCCCATGGAAAGACAAATAAATAAATACATAGCATGCCAAGTGCTGGCTAATTCTATGATTTAAAAGAAAGCAGAGGACAAGGTATAAAGAAAGACAAGAGTGGAGTGTTATCTTATACAGGATGTCCAGAGGAAGCTTCACAGATAAGGCTGTCTGTGAACAGAGACCTGAACAAAGTAAGGAGTGAAACCAGATCAGAGGAAGAGCATTCAGGTCAAATGAAATGTGTAAAGTCCTCTGTAAATGTCATTCTTCCCCCAAAGTAACCTCAAGCAGTAATAACATGATCTCATCTTATTCATCTTGAACTCAGCTGTCAGCAGTCTTCTCTGAGAACCTATAAGCAAAGGGTCAAAATAGATTTTACAAAAAGCATGTATTTTAATGCCTGGGAGAAGTCTTCAGACTCTCATTGAAACTCTTAGCTTGGTATCTGTAAATCTTTTAAATAAACCTCTAATTCCCAGCCCAGAGAAGATTAGAAGTTGCAAGCATGAAGTTCATAATAGATGAAAGAGAATGGATTTGTGATTCTGTCCCTGGACTACAGGTAAAATGACATTGTCTCAGAGTCAGGTGGGCATGGCAGCGAGGCCTTCCAGGACACTAGGAAGCTGGAAACAGAGTCACCTGGCACTTCCTATACTTTCCTCTCACAGAGAAGGATGTGTCACTGCTGGTGCCAAGTTTGGTTCAACAGCCTGAGAGCCCAACATGTGTAAATGATCTACTGAGTGGAAGGGCATAGATGGTTCAAATAGTGTTAGAAAATCCTGATGGTATTATATCTGGGTATAAAAGAGCAGGACCATACCACGAATTCAGCTCTGTTCTCAACTCCGACAGATTTTATAAGGTGTCTTTAGGAGCTGTGCTCATTGGAGAATAATGGGTCCAGGAAAACCCAAGTTGAGACTATGTTGGGTGTATTTCTGTTCTGTGTAGACATTAACTTTCTTGGTCATTTATATCCTTAACTAAAAGAAACTGGGAATTTATCATGTACATGTGGAGGGAAGGTTCCTTCCTGCCAGTCATAGCTTGCCAGATACACTTTAGAAGAGAACTTCCAATTAATAACTTCTGGACCTTGAGAAAAATTTAAGTTACATTTGGGATACTATTTTAGAAGAGTTACAATGTAGTCTTAAGAAAAAGTTCTGTCTCATAGCTTTTATAAAAGTTTCCATAGTTAAATAGACTTAAATATTATCTTAGCTAGATGGGTAACACAACATTCCATCTTATTCCTGAGGATTTTGGACTCATTTGGGGGCTTCAACCTAAAGTTGTAGGCATTGTAAAGAGTCCTGTATGTGGGCTAGTAGATAGCTGACTTTGAAATCTGTTGGTGGCTTTGCACTTGAGTACCATTTGGCATGAAAAACATAGAAGGACCTGTAGCCTTGTGGACAAAATGGATTATCAGACAGCCTGAAAGCTTATCACTTTAGCCTGATCTCTCTGCTTCATACATTTCGACTTCAATAAGACTTTTAGTTCAGTTGGATACCTGAACTAAAGCAGGTTTATCTCCCTGTGATTCTTCCCTTCTTTCCTTTAAAATGACTGGCTTCCAATGAACTAAAATAAAGGAACATTTGGGAGAGTTTCATGCTATGTCTACACATGTGTGTGTTGCTTTTGTCTTTACTTTAGAAGTCATAGTTCCCATCCTCTAGACAGTTAATAGGTTTTCTTCCACCTCTGAAATTTTAGCCCTCCCCCTTTTTTAATGAATTGCTTTGCTTTCAGAACATGGAAAGGGAATAAATGTTTCTTTCACTTAGTATAACATCAAAAGCTATTAAATACAGAGAAGTTATTTTCCCACAGTGATGACTCGTTTCTATAACTGACATGGAGTAGAATATCTAAATCCTCATCTACATGAAAGGAAATGATTCTCAAGAGGAATGTTCTCAAATTTAGCTCCTCAGACTTATGAAATTTGGCTCCATCTTCTCTTCTTAAGTACAACTTCCTTTCATGTTTTTGTCTGTTTAGTCTTTCAACACACTTCTGTGTCATTAATGCCTACTATATGCGTTCCACTGAATGCAGTGACAAAGGTGAATGGGTACTTTGAGCAATTCTAATGAAGGCAGTGGAAGGTGCTGTGGGTGGCTGATGAGGACCCTACCACTGTGGGACTTTCAGACACATCACCAAAGGGCAGCTTATTTGCATGAGTTGCTTTAGCCTTCCAGGCTCAAGTGATCAGTCCTTTCTTGAATCCCCACATAATTTCACTTGTATTGTTACATGACATCAATTCCCATATGTCTCATCATATAGCTGTTAACATGTTTTATCTTCCCAAGAAGATATCCCTTCCTTAAAAGTCCTTTGATTTATTTTGTAATTACCCCTTCTTCTACTCCAGTATAGTTCTCAGAGAAAGTTCTCACAGCAAGTTTGATAAATGAATAAAGCTTTATTCATTTATCTCATTTCGGACAAAGAGGCTGCCAGGGTCCTTCCCCACTCCCTCCTCTTCCGATGCTCACACCAGAAATAGCTCCTAGATTTGTACTTCCTTAATGCATATGTTGTCTTGAATTTTTCGTATTTCTGTTTGAAAAGGTAGTTTTTCACCTGTACTGTACTTGAGCTGTCTTCAGTTTTGGAGGAGACTTTTTATTCCTCAATTACATAAGGCCAAAGGTTTAAATTGGGTGAGATTTCAAAGAATTTTGTATCTGACATGCTCTTTTTGGGAGTTCTAGGGCAAATGGTGTTCTTGACTCACATAGAAGGAGAGAGAGAGACGTAAAAAGATTAATTATTGATTAAGGAATCAGAACAGAATATCAGGCCTTGCTAGGTGAGATGGTAGTTGTGGCGGTGGCGGCAGTGACAGTGAGGGTGCCTGAGTGCATTAACCTTGGGCTGTGCACCAGGCCTCAGACTAGGGACTTCAGCATGGATTATCTTCTTGTGCTTCATGGCAGTTTATGAGGTGGGTGTTTTTATTGTTATCCACATTTTACTGAAATTTAGAGATGGTGAAGAGTGTGTGCATTAGCAAGTGAGGAATCCAGGATTCAGACTCCAGTAGTGTAGCTCTTAACCATCGTACTCTACTTGGAGGGATTGTCTATAGTCGTGAGAGGCACTTGATCCCCGGAGAAAGAGTTCTAGGCCAGATGGTGGGATTACTAGGATCCCTCAAGACTGAGCC